TCTAGGAGTCTCCCCTGGTTCAAAACCATCTTTAGAGGTCCTAGCACGCCATTTCTCGACCCGCTCTTTCGTTTGAGCTCAAAAAAACATTCATATCTTGTCTGACATCTTTACTACAAACTCGGGTCTTCAACTCGGGCTTTCAATCGAAAACCCGAGTTGTAAACCCGAGTTTGTAGCAGCGATGTCAGATAAGCTATGAATGTTTTTTTGGGCTCAAATGAAAGAGTGGGTCGAGAAATGATCGATTGATTGAATTAATAATAATTGATGATAATAATTGATCTTTCTGAAACCTTGACCATCGGATCGGTGATGGGACCCTCTTTCTTAACATTTACCAAAAAATATTTTTAAAAATAGATCGAAAAAGGGAGATGAAAGAAAAGAATGTCTAAACAGAGTAAAATTCATGAGACCCAGTTCTTCAAATCCATGACTCAGTTCTTCAAAACATGACACAATGAGTTGTTGATAAATATCACTGGACCTAAGGGGTTAAAAAAATTCTAAAGCATCTTTTTCTAGATCTTTTTCTCCTCAACAAAAAATAGTCTTCCCCTGAGACCCCCACATATTCTACTCAAATGTTCTCAATAGAACACTCCAGTTCTACCAAAACTACCAGTTGGACCGCGTTCCAAGAGTGAGCTGAATCAAGTAGTGAAATTACATTTAAAAAAATATAGATTTCACTCTTTTTTAATAAATTCCAGGTGGAACTTCTCAATTTCTCATAGATTAAACAAGATATTCTTAAAAAATTATCAAAAAAAAATCAATGAAAACGAGAGATCAAAGAAAACCTGTCGAAACAGAGTCAAATTTTCACGAGACCCAGTCACGAGACTTTAAATCCATGACTCAGTTCTTCCAAACATGACACAGAGTTGTCGATAAATATCTTTGAATCTAATAATGGGATAAAAAAAATTCTCAAGGTCCCTTTTCTTCTCCTCCTCAACAAAAAATAGACTTCATAAAAATCTTCTGATACGTTCTCAATGGAAATTACTCTTCTTCGCATTATCACATAACTAATAAAATCAAATAAAGAATTAATTACCATTTGGAAGTAGTTTCAAGCGTGAGCTCATGATAAGAAACCGTAAACTGGAACTTGGCCGCTCGCTTGTTGACTCTCTGCAATCTCTTCCAAACAGAGCTCATCTTCACAGATAACTCTTTGACATGAATCAAACAGTTGTGAAAAAATCCAAAGCCACTCGGCTTAGCCCCACGAGTCTAAAAAAACTCCTCGTTCGAAAAATCACGTTCGAAAATCAGTCATTTCTATAAATTGTCAAGGTCAAAGGAAGCTGTCATCCGCCCTCGCAAAACCGAATGTTTTCCTTCTGCTTCCGTTTCTCCTTATTCTCCCTCTCACTCCACTAAAACACTGGGTCGCACAAAACTGTTGGGTATCCAACTACGTAAATCGATTGTGATAATGTGGTATTCTCGTATTCTCCACCGACAAGTACGACCTCGTCAATTATCCTTGCAACCTTTGTCCTTGATTTTTTTTACTATTTCTCGAAAATACGAGGAAATGGGTTATTAAATGGCGACGTCAACTGGTGCATAACTGTCTTGCCACTGTTGTCATTCCTCATATGATGAAAATTAGAGATTGATTACGTGGTTAAATTGACACTATTCTGCACGAGTTTATTGCACAGGAACGAGTCATTGCCTCCGGGGGGGGTTCACCGTCAAGGGACAATCGATGATTTTCACATTTACACTCTTCAATTATTCAATCACCCACACCATTTCACTGTGACAATGAGACAGCTGATTAGGCGTATCGCGTAGTTCCAGTTGATAAAAAAAACTAAGCAGCACCCGAATGCACGTACGCGATCGTACGGCTTCTTCTTTTTGTCTGTGCTAAATGTGGATTGGAACCCGAAAAAAACGGCACCGTATGAAGAAGGTATTGGGGCCATCTAGTGGGCAGAAGGCTCCGATTGTGAGCATAATTTCTTCTTTACCATTGATGGGTTTCTTACCACGAGTGGTAATTTCCACGTCCTATAATAAAGGTGGCATCCTTTAAGGTGTATCTGGAGACAATACCACCCAAAAGTTAGTCAAAACCCAACGGTCAGAGGGCCAAAGTGTCTGATCTTGGATTTTTCCAGGGGGAAAGTCGACATTCGTCAAAATCGAATTTTTTACCCGGGTGAAGGTTGATTCCCACTATTTAAGCGACGGGCTATTCAGAACTCTCAAAAGTGTGTGGAAAAAGTGAAAACTGAAAAAGTTTTTTTTTCCAGATTTTCAAAGGGTCAGATTTTCCGTTTTTCCAGGGGGAAAGTCGACTTTCGGCAAAATCGACTTTTTTACCCGGGTGAAGGTTGATTCCCACTATTTAAGCGACGGGCTATTCAGAACTCTCAAAAGTATGTGGAAAAAGTGAAAACTGAAAAAGTTTTTTTTTCCAGATTTTCAAAGGGTCAGATTTTCCGTTTTTCCAGGGTGAAAGTCGACTTTCGGCAAAATCGAATTTTTTACCCGGGTGAAGGTTGATTCCCACTATTTAAGCGACGGGCTATTCAGAACTCTCAAAAGTGTGTGGAAAAAGTGAAAACTGAAAAAGTTTTTTTTTTCAGATTTTCAAAGGGTCAGATTTTCCGTTTTTCCAGGGGGAAAGTCGACTTTCGCCAAAATAGAATTTTTTACCCGGGTCAAGGTTGATTCCCACAATTTAAGCGACAGGCTATTCAGAACTCTCAAAAGTATATGGAAAAAGTGAAAACTGAAATTTTTTTTTTTCAGATTTTCAAAGGGTCAGATTTTCCGTTTTTCCAAGGGGAAAGTCGACTTTCGGCAAAATCGAATTTTTTACCCGGGTGAAGGTTGATTCCCACTATTTAAGCGACGGGCTACTCAGAACTCTCAAAAGTGTGTGGAAGCAGTGAAAACTGAAAAAGTTTTTTTTTTTCAGATTTTCAAAGGGTCAGATTTTCCCTTTTTCCAAGGGGAAAGTCGACTTTCGGCAAAATCGAATTTTTTACCCGGGTGAAGGTTGATTCCCACAATTTAAGTGACGGGCTATTCAGAATTCTCAAAAGTATGTGGAAAAAGTGAAAACTGAAAAAGTTTTTTTTTCAGATTTTCAAAGGGTCAGATTTTCCGTTTTCCCAGGGGGAAAGTCGACTTACGCCAAAATCGAATTTTTTACTCGGGTGAAGGTTGATTCGCACTATTTAAGCGACGGGCTATTCAGAACTCTCAAAAGTATATGGAAACTAAGGATTAGAAGGGTCACGAGGGTTCTAATGAGGCTCAGAATAAGGGTCATGAGAGTCAAAATAAGGGTCACGAGGGTTTTAATGAAGGTCAGAATAAGGGTCTAATAGGGGTCATAAGGGTCAAAATAAGGGTCAGAATAATGATCATAGGGGTCATATGGGGCCATATAAGACTCATATGGGGGGTCTACGTGGGTCATATCGGGGTTAGTCAATAACTAAAAACCAAATATGTAAAAACATGGTATTTTTTTCACTGTGAAATGAGTAATCTCTCAAGTTCCACAATCAACTCTGTACAAACGCATCTACAAAGGAAAAAAATCATAATCTAAAGCATCAATAGTATCCTTTGTAGTCGTATTCATCTGCGTGGTCGTGTGCACCCTGGTGAGCTTGGAAGAGTGCTGGTGGAGCGGACTGAAGAGAATTCCTGTGGATGAGAAGAGTCTGTTCATGATCAACGTCCTCGTATTGGGGTGGCGGTAAGTAAGCCTGTGGGTGGGCCAGTTCCTCGTGGCTGTCGGCCTGGAGCTTGGCGGCAACGGCTGTGTGGTGGCCGTCCTCCTCTTCGGCTACGGATAATTGTGGATGGTTGACGGCGGCACTCTCCGCTGCGTGGGCTGCAGCCGCTGCTGCGTTATTCTGCGCCTGTTGAGCGGCCGCCTGGGCTTTGTCTCTTGCCGATTGCGTGGCCTCGAAGTCAATGCGTGCCGCCTCAAGCTGTTCGTCAATTGACTGGGCGCGAGCTTTTGCCTGTCCCAACATGGTGGTTTGCGCGGCGAGTTCAGCGGCCGCTTCGGCGGCTGCTTGAGCGGCGTGATCTGAATGAGAAATATTTATCTAGAAATTTCTTGCATCATGCACGAAAAAGTTTCGCAGCAAAACTTCATAAAAAATTTCTATTGAACTTTCCATTCGTTTTTATCAATGAAAAATATTCTACAGAAGAAGTCAGAATGAGATTTTTCTATTCAACTTATTTTACTGAAATTTTTTCCCCTAAAAATTCCTCGTATTTTTTTTTTCCCAAAAATTCCTCGAAAATGTCTCAATAGAAAAAGTTGTATCGAAAGATGAAATTCCACTGATTTTTTATCTACAATAGTTGAAGCTGTGTAATTCTTATAGAATCGGCCAAAAATTAGTAGAATGTTCAATATAAATCCAATAGAATTGAATTTTTTCATTCGTGCCCCATGACATTGTCGATACGCTCTTTACAAATTTTTAAATGACGGTTCCACTAAAATCTTACGGAATTCACATTTTGATAAAAACTGATCCATTCAAAATTAAAATTCTACTGATTTATTCAATAAAATAGTCTCTATTCGACATTTTCTAAAAACAACGCGCAGTGAAGCTGCAAAATGCTGCAATAGGCCAAAAACAAATAGAATCTTCTGTCGAACACGCCAGGCTTTTCTATAAAATCTTCCCCTGCACGAGAGCCTGAAGAAAATCTCTCTCTCAGGATTTCCGCTGAATCAACTTAACGCGATCATTCCAAAGTTATTTGAAAGGACAACTATTTAACTCATATTATAAAATGAGTAATAAAATAAGTACATAAAAGAGTGAATAAATGTCTCGACGGTGAAGTAATATTGAAAAATCCATTCTAAATGCCGGAGCATGAACAACAACTATTGCGCCACGATCTACTTTTCCACATCCCAGAAAAAAATCGATAACTTTTATCTCCTAAGGACCGTTCGGGTTACCTTGAGTGGCTTGCGCAGCGTTCAGTGCAGCAGTGATAACCTGGACCTGGTGCATGGCCTGTTGCGCGGCGTTCCTCGCCGCCTGGGCAGCCCTCGCAGCTTGTTCGAGCTGCCTCTTCTCCCCGTCCACAGCGGTGTGCGCGTCAGCAGACTGCTGCTGCAGTCCGAGGAAGATGATCTGCTTGCCCGCGAACGCGGCATTGGCAGTGGCCGCACTCTGTGCTGCGCTCTGCGCGAGTTGGTTCTTGGCAACGTAGGCGGCCTGACCCGCGGCCGAGTGCTGGCTGCCGAGGGCCGTTCGTGCCTGATCGGCGGAGCCCCGGGCGATGGACACCAGTCCACCTCCCACGCTGAAACCGGGCTTGGAGGGAAGGGCATGGTGCGAGTGCGCCGCCTGGCTGTCCACGCGAGCCACTGGCTGCACGTAGTCGCTCACCAGGGTGTAGTCACCCAGGACAGCGTCATCGTAGTTGGGGGCATATCCTCGGGCCTTGCGCGCATCCTTCACTGGCTTCGTACCAGCGAGGACCAGACCCACGGAGCCCAGGAGGAGAATTAGCTTCACGTACATCGTCGAAATTATTTCATGAAATCTGTTGATTGAAATACTCAGTTCATTTATTCATTCGGTTTTCGGTAACTCGTTTGTTGCCGAGCCTGAAGGCTTATTCAATTATTAAGGAATACAATATTCGTTCCTTTTTCGTGGGAATGACGGCGACCCGGTGAAAACGTATATATGGGGAAAATACATGAGTCATATGTCATTTATATATGTTATATATGAGGAAATATATGTGGGCGTCCACATGAAAAGGGCCCACTTTGACGGTATTGGAGTTATTTATGTACCGATAATCTTGATCAGATTTCTCACATTTTGAGCCCAAAATTAACCCGATAGAATGAAAACTAACGTCAGTATAGACGATCAAAAAAACAATTTAACATTGGTTTAAATGGGAGATGTGGAGAGAAAAACGTGAATATCTCGGAAACTAGATGGGACAAAGTGGGCCCTTTTCACGTGGACGTACACATATGTCTCGTAGGCGTGAATGGGGCAAAATGGACGTTTCGAATTTTTTTATGTTAATGTTAATGATTCACTGAATTTTAAAGGAGATGGGATAATTTTTTATGATACAAGTGAAAGAAAGGGCGCTTCGCGCGCAAAGAAATGCCTTTTTCTCACCAGTATCGTAAAATATCGTACGATACATATAAAACGATGGACTTCCTCAACAACTACTTTTTTCACTTGTATCGTAATATATTATTCTGATGAATATGAGCTAGAAAAATTCTTTGCGGCCTCATGATGAAATGTACAATCTGAAATGTGTGGATTAAAATATTTCATTGATTTATTCATTCAATTTTCTTGGGAATAATTTCAAAGAATTCAGGGACGCTGTCAGATCGAAGTACAATCATGATCATGAATATAATGAGAATCATTAACTGTCAATCGCACGGTCAATATAATAATAACAATAATAATAAAAAATGCACAATTAAATTGTGCGAGCAAAAGAAACAAATATTTTCATTTTCTTGGCAATATTGAAAAATGTAATACAGAATTTCAATCACCGCATCACAAAAAAGATTTGATGATTTTTCACGAAATGTTGAAACTCCATTGTCATACCGGAAGACTCAGATCGACTGATGGAAGAGCATACGAAAATTTCTCTCCATCACCGCATGACTGATCACGCGCAACGATGTCCGTGCCGAATTCAGTTTGATAGGTGAGTGAGAAAAATCATGATAAGTCAAGGAACAAAGCGGCAGCCACAGGAGAAGCTAGTCTTTGTTTTTACCCCCTCAGCACGGGTGACAAGCTGTAAAACCCGTCGAAAGCGGGCCTAGTCATGCGTAATTTTCATATCGCGATTAGCGAATGTGATGCAATATCTAGCTGTTGCATGTTTCTGAATATAAAATGTTACAACCGACATTGAATAATCAAATGTTGATTTTTCACGGTTCCGAGTAATTGGATTAATCAACCGTGTCTCATTATGCCTTTCTATTTGTAGATTTAATTTTGAGAAAAAAATGCGAGCTTACGATCCTAGCCCCATTTGGATGATTTTATTATTTAAACTCCGAAAGTTGAAATACCATTCTTCTCTTCGACACGTCTCAAATTGTTAATTTTTTTTTATTTTCTAAATATTGTAATTTTTATTAGACTTATCGCGTTATGTCAGGCCATGGATGATTTGATGTTAAACCCAATTAAAGATAACAAACTTGGACATGAGTATAAAAAATAATTAAATAATTATATATAGTTAATTAAAATAGTTGATTAACTTAAACATTGTCAACATGGCAATAAAAGTTCGCTGTCCCGGCAAATGGCAATTAAATAATCTGTGAATTTCATTAGCAATGCCTCAACAAGACATATGAATTGGGGGAGGTGAGGTGGGACGAGTTGACCTGGATTACCGAATATTTTGAAATGATTTTATTATTAAAACTCCAACAGTTGAAATCCGATTCTCCATTTCGACGTTTCAAATTGTTAATTTATTGTTTTCCTTAAAAAACACTATTTTTTCAAACTTATCGCGTTGTATCAGGGTAATGTCAAACGCCAAAACCTCAAAATAACGTAAATGAAGAAAATAATTGAATAATGAGATCACGAATTAATTATTTGATCTTAAACCCAATTAAAAATCACAAAGTAGAAAATGGGCATGTAATTGTCAACAGAATTTCCATGAATACACAGCATTGCAATAAAAGTTGGCTTTCCCGGTAACTGACCATTAAATAATCTGTGAATTTCATTAGCAATGCCTCAACAAGACATAATAATTGGGGGAGGTGAGGTGGGGCGAGTTGACCTGGATTACCGAATATTTTAAAATGATTCTATTATTAAAATTCCAACAGTTGAAATCCGATTCTCCATTTCGACACATTTCAAATTATTAATTTATTGTTTTCCTTAAAAAACACTATTTTTTCAAACTTATCGCGTTGTATCAGGGTAATGTCAAACGCCAAAACCTCAAAATAACGTAAATGAAGAAAATAATTGAATAATGAGATCACGAATTAATTATTTGATCTTAAACCCAATTAAAAATCACAAAGTAGAAAATTGGCATGTAATTGTCAACAGAATTTCCATGAATACACAGCAGTGCAATAAAAGTTGGCTTTCCCGGTAACTGACAATTAAATAGTCTGTGAATTTCATTAGCCACGCCTCAACAAGACATAACAATTGGTGGAGGTGAGTTGCAGTTTTCATGAAGTGATTTAAATCACCTAGACCACTGGAGTTGTCGAGTTGAGACCATTCTCGTGCTGATCGTGACTGCAGCCATGTTTCAACTATTAAATAAAAACCCTTATCCCCCACATCTCAGTCGCACGCGTAAAAATCATGCATCATGTACACATGAAAATAGTTTAGGCACCATGTGAATGTACGAATGGCCGGTTCGGTTGCGCTCTGAAAGTCGTGTTTAACTCTGGCGTTTAGAGGTAAACGAGCTCCCACCCCTCCCATCGAGGAAAAATTAGCATTTACCACGGGGAAATATTGCATTTTTTTATTTACTTAATTTTTACCGCGAAAGCACTTATCTCTGCCTTTCAAATCCCACTAGTCATCGACCTTCTATCGATTCTCCTATCCCTCCATACATTCATTTTCCACATTTGTTTAACTGTAAAAACATGAAGTGCTGGAGGCGTTTTATGAAGGAAATGGGGGAATTAATATCAACATTCCCGGTAACTACTGGAGTAATTCAGCAAAAAACGTTAATCAAGGAATTTTTAGTGTACAGCAACTGGGCCATGTTATAATTTTCAATGCCTCTCGTAACTCTATGAATTTATTGTTATTTAATCCATTAATTAATTTATTAACCAATCCATTAGTTGTTATTGATTGTTATTCAATTATTGCAAATCACTTTCTCAAGTTTTTCAATTTCCTCAATGAAATTCCGTTAATTTAATGGGAAATAAATACAACATTATCTGATGCAGTAATTATGTGTTTATCATTTAAAGTCGGAGGTCGTGCCGGAAGTGAATATTAACTAAGACATTTAATTCCACTCGTAATGTTTACTCCAAGTGAATTGTCAACAGGGAAAATGTGAATAAATGAATCCCGAAAATCAGGGATTTCAGGGGAATTAAAAATAGGATGATTCAACTGTCGAAAACATTGTGTTTTTTTCTCAAAAATCCCTCATTTCGTGGATTGATTTATACCGCTTGGGGATGAATTGCTTTATTCATAAATATGTAATATTAATAAAGATCAATTTTATTCGGGTACTTACTAGCTGAAATAAAGAAACTCCACTGTTGCAGGAAATCACGGTGCGCAATTGTTCACACAGAGTTATTACCGAATGAAACAGTAGTAACTGCCCTTTCACGGCGAGGATACAACTAAGAACTGATTGGTACCAGGACGGTCAATGGAGCTCTTATACCCGCGCTGGTCCAGTTTGTTCGGGCTTTCGTGACGAACAGAATAGAACAAATCGACGCCCCGGGGTGGGACTCGAGTGGTCCTATCGTTCAATCCATAAATTTGGCGTATCGAGAATTGCACACGAAAAACCCCCTCTCAATAAAAAAGAAATACCTTAATTGGAATTAATGAACGAAACCGAAAGCTCGCTCATGAATTCCAGAAATCTGATGACCTTGGTATTACTCACATCCTGTCCATTCTCTGGTTCACGCAATTTAGAACATTACTTTTGAAATTTCACGTGAAAAGCAATAAATTTTTTAGCAATTGCTAATGCTAGCAATTCCAATTACTAATTTCTGACAATGAAAATTATTGGAAAATTACTCAGAATTTTTAATCTATTCGAAAAGTGAAATGTGGGGAAATGAATGTGATGTTCAATTTTCAATTTTCATAATGAGTTAGTTCACAAGCTCTCATCGCAATATTAATGATCGTCTGACATGAGAAACTGAATTTTGTTGAATTTCCGAGATGAGTAACAAATTCCCTAATGATTTCATTTTTAATTGAATTCAAATTAATTAATTATTACTCAACATTAATTATTCTAACGCAACTATCTTCTGTCTTCTCTATATCTATAATAAACAGGAGATGTCCAAAATATGTCACGCGTTTATTTTCTTCTCTCTTCTCTATAATGAAAAGGAGATCAATAAGAATATTTCCGATTTTTCACTGAAATTGTTCGACATCCAGTTCGAACAGTTTCGCAAAAATTAGTATCAATTATTCAACGTCCATCCCCCCGATTAATGTGAATTGCATTAGAATGGAGAATTGTAGTATATCAGCAACGAGAACGATAAATCGTTTTACCGATCTATCGTGTTGATATACGCGCAGCGCGCATTCGATCTCGTTACTTAATTAAAAAAATGTTCTAACAGTGTGATTTTCCCCACACAGTAATTAAAAAACCCGTTGAAAACCCAAAAAATTATTTCAAAAATCCCTGCAACTCATCCCCGACGATCTGAACCAATTCCCCCCAATATTGAATTCCGCAACGACATGGAATTTTTTCGTCTCCACATTTCAAATAAAAAAAGACTAGGAACAGATCGGTTTCAGTCCACTCGTAATCCTGCCCGCCCAAGATCCGGAATAGGTAACAAAGTATTATGTATATATTAAGGTACTGAGTAAATGTTTCAGAGTGTGACGCACGCCCTCGCTCTTACTTTCACACGGGTCTCATTATCATGTACGTAAATATACAGTGCATTGACAATAAAAGAAACTATGAAAGCAGCTAACATGAGTTATGTCCAGGCACTTAATTAATTAGCCCATATACTTTTTGCATTATTCGAAGGCATTATCGGTGTTCCACAGGGGAAAGTTCCGCCACATCTGAATGTTTCGGAAAAAACTTAATGGCTAACTTCGCAGGAGAGTCTGATGCATAATTTTCCGGAATGTCGAAGAGGGTTAATGAATTATTTCTGATTCTGCATTTAGGTAATGCGATATCGAAACACGTCCGCAGATTAATTCAGCAGCGAAGTGGTAAAGCGGTTTAAATCAATTTTGACTATTGGCCAGTTTTCAATGAATATCTTGGAATCTAGGAGAGATAGCAAAATTTTTGTTATAACCTTTTTTGTAGAGCCGATTGAGGCCTACAACAAATATAATTATGAAAATTTCGCCATCTCCCTTAGATTCGGAAATATTCCTCAAAAACTCAACTGGGAGATGAGTCGACTTAAACCGTTTTAACACTTCGCTACTGAAGTTTAGCAGGGAAATCGTCTCTAATTTGTCAATTAATTTATCATTCAAATTCAGTTTTCCTGACATTTGGGAATTTCAAACCTATTGAAGCAGACGGAGGGCGAGTTCAGGTGGGCCCACAAATCGACATAAATTCGATCGCTCGTAATCGTAATGCCGGAGCTCGGGTGAGTGACTTTACTCCAGCAGACAATTTTTTTTGTGGACTGACCGCAGAATACTATCAACTATCAACTGCTTCTCTGAGTTATGTAATTTTTTCTTTCTCGTCTTCTCTTGGGTTTTCAGGAAGAAGTCATCGCTGGTAGCAGAGAGAATCGTGGTGCAAACGATGAAAGGGGGTCTGATAAAGGAGACATCGCTAGCAAAGCCGCGCAAGAAGCAAAAGCTGCGTCCGATGCGCAGAATATTGCTGGAAAACAGGCGTCTCATCAAGTACGCAGAGAATTGACTCGCAATTTAGAATTGGCGGATGAGAATTTCGATTTCTTGGGGAAAAAATTGGACAAAACACAATTTTCTAAATTTTTCTTATGGAAAACCCGAATTTTCATAGAATCACGCACGAAAAAAATTAATAGAAAAACCGACCGAATTCGTTACAAAATTCTATTGAATTTCTATTAAACTTTCTATTAGTTTTTGGCTGATTTCATTCTACATAATTTATTCTTTTCATATATTTTCTATAGAATTTGCTCGACTCAAATTTTCTGTTTTTTTCATTCTATTTTTCTTTTCTTAGAAAAACTTAGAAAATTTGAGCCGAGGAAATTCTATTGAAAATATCTCAATAGAATAAGTTATATAGAAAAATTGAATTCTATTGACTTTTTCTACTGAATATTTTCTATTGAACATTTCAATAGAATCGGCCAAAAACTAATAGAACAGTTCAATAGAAATTCAATAGAATTTTCTAACGAATTCGATAGGTTTTTCTATTAAAGTTTTTCGTCCGTAATACTTCTGCATTCGTTTGAGAAGTTTCTGTCATTGAGTCCTGGGGCACAGAGTCTTTTGCAGTTTTATTATTTCAGCTTCGAGGTTTGAATCTAATTCTTCATTTGAACCTCCAGAAAAAGTTTAAAAAATCTAATAACATTGGATAGTTGACTTGTTTTCATCGAAAAATAGAAAAACTGCAGTTTCTGAAGATCACGATATTCTTTCATCAGTGATTTATAAATAATAAATGTTCAACTAAAATTATCGGAATTTTTTTCTGTTTTTTTTCGACTAGGTAAAAGTCCAGCTAGCGGAGAAAGCGTTTCGTGCATCGAAGGCCGCCGAAGCGGTGCTCATTGGGAAGATAGCGCTCGTGGAACAACTGGGGGAGGAGACGAAGGAGACCCAGAGTGTCGTTCGCGAAGGATCCCTGAGTTTCCAACGGGCAAAAGAGAACGTCGCGGCTGCGACTAAAGCTGCCAAAGAAGCACATCACCAGGTCCTCATCATCTGATGAGATCCAAAAAATCAATCGTGCACGGAGAACTTTCATAGAAATACCTAGCGACTTCGACAAAAAATTGTATTGGAATTCTCTTAAACTTCTATAAAAAGCTTTACCGCACATCTTTTTTAATGAAAAATTTTCAATAGAAAATATTTGATAGAAAAAATCTGTAGAATTTCATCTTTCTATTCAATTTCTTCTATTGAGCCATTTTCTATTGGAATTCCTCAATATGAATTTTCTAATTTCTTTCCACTTTATTTTTCGTTTCTTTGCATTAAAAGATGAATCAAAAAAACTTGGAAAATTTAATTCTATTGATTTTCCCTATAGAATATTTTCCATTGAACTTCCTATTGAAAAATCCATTTCCATTCGTATTGAAAAAATCTGTAGATAATCAGAATGGGCCAAACTAATAGAAAATGCAATAGAAATCCAATAAAATTGTAGCGAATTCCCTACGCCCCCCGTGAAATTTTTTCATACGCGATGAATTCAGAAAATTTCTTTCTTTTTTTACTGATTTTGACAACCCACGCATTTCATTTTCTCTCTCCAATTAACTAAGAATCCCAGTCCATTCAGTACTCAATCACATAACCAGCTTACATAAATCAAATGTTTGTCTTTGGAAAATATGTTAATTAGATCGATACACTGAGACGTGCGGTGGAAACGGCGAAATCCAATCTGAGCAATGCCAGAACAGCGGCCGAGGGTGCTCGCAGATCGTTAGGAGAGAAGGAGCAATTACTGGTGGCAGCTAAGAAACGCGTTGAGGAACTCAAAGGGAGGCTGCAGAAATCAAAGGGCGATTTAGCCAGGACCAATCAGGCTGCGGTCAAGGCTGAAGCCTCTGCGAGGGAGGCTAGGGTCAAAGTTAATCACGACACACCCGCGGCCAAAACTTAAAAATTTGCGATTAAATCACTGAAATTTATAAATAAAATTCCTGAAACTTGAAATTCCTCACGCATTCAATTTAAAAATACCGTGACCCCCTAAAAATTAAACTGAAAGCCACAACTTTTTTCTCTGGGTTGTGTTTAACACACGTACGACGAAATATTTTAGAGAAATCTAGCGCATACGCTAAACAACTGAATTGAACTTCATTGAGAATTCTGAGTTTTTTTATCGATTCTGCAGACAAATTCGTGCTTTTCTCTCCGTTCTTTACAAATAGAAATGGTTAATAGGAAATATTAGACAGAAAGCTCCAAATCTATTGATTTTTCCTACCAAATATTTTCTGCTGAAAATTTCAATTGACAAAAAGCGAGGAATTTTTCCAAATTTTTTAATAAAATCGACGAAAAACTAATGGAATTTCCAACGAAAGGCATTAGAATTATCTACAAGAAGCGCTGGGGTTCGGGACGCAACAGCGCGCCGAATCACTGAAGTTATAAACTTTTAAATAAATAAAAACAATTGACATTTCACCTTGTAACTGTCAATCCATTCGTATCAAGCTGTCATAACCATGCACCTAACATGGATGAATTTGCTAATTATCTTCATTTCAACCCGGAAAATCGGTAGTTACGCGCAGGAAATTTCTAGAGGAACGCGAGAATCGAGTGAGGTACGTTATAATGACCCCCACAATCTACTGAGTAACAACTTATAGTGAACCCAGGGGATATCTTGTAATGGACCAGAGAATTTATCTCAGAAAAAATCATCAAATATCGCCCAAAAAGCTGCCCAACAGGCGAAAGCTGCGTCCGATGCCCAGAATATAGCGGGCGCCCAAGCTGCCCATCAAGTAATTTATTTAAATTTCGAGAACACCCATTTGTAATTAAACCCACTTCTTGTTTCAAGAAAATTGAATGAAAAAAATGAAAATTAATGCAGGTCAAGGCTCAACTTGCGGAAAAGGCACTGGAAGCGGCGAAAGTAGTTGAAGTTGAATTATCGGGTATAAAGATATATGAACATTACTTTTGATGAACGAGTTTATTATTTATTTACTGAATTATTTCTTATGATTTTTTCCTCATCGATAGGCAAAGAATCTATTGTCGCTCAACTGCAACAGGAAGTCAGAGAGGCGGAAGCAGTCGTGAGAGAAGAAATGGCGGCAATTCACCAGACTAAACAACACGTAGATCGATCCGTGCAAGCAGCATCGCAAGCAGAACAAGAGGTGAATTTCATCTGAAATTCTCTCGATTTTTATGCTGTTTTGCACACGTTTTTTTCAGTTAAAAAATAATTAATAGGAAAAAATGAGCCAAGACAAAATTATTTATTCAATCCGGAGGTTCTACTTGATGCAATCAAGTAGATTCCGAATTGACACTTGAAGTCACTTGAAAATACTTGAGTCGCGATCCACTTCAACGGAATTATTATTTTTTAAAAAAGATTGATTAATTTTTACTATTGATTCCGTAAAAAAAAAGTCCGCATAATTTTTTTAAGTGACCTAAACTGCAGTCTCCTTTCTCTCATTCAAAAAAGAATGAGAAAAGCTTCGCAAATTTATTAATTATTGAAACTAATAAAATATGAAAGAGAATTCTCTAGCAGATGCACTGGAATTGTCTCCTCGATTATTCTTTACACGGGAAGTAAAGAAGAATAGAATAAATAAATAGAATATTTGAAGTTAGGAACAATAGTTCTGATCGAAATAAAAATTCCTCAAGTTGAAGACGCTGAATCAAGCTCTCCAGGCGGGCCAAGTAAACCTCCAGAATGCAGAACGCGCAGCTCAAGGAGCTCAACACGAGCTAACGGAGAAGCACCACTTGGTAGAGGCTGCTAAACACCGATTGACGGAGCTCTCGAAGAGATCGAAATGCGCCAAAACCGACCTCGAGACGACGCGTCAAGCTGTGCAGAAGGCCAATGCAGCAGCCCATCAGGCGAAAATCAATGCCGCTAGGAACAAGCGGGACCCACTTCTACCATCCGAAGGATGATTCACGAGAGCACCTTCTAATCCTAATGAACAGCCTTGCTCCCCTTTCCCCAGCGCGATTAATCAATAATGCTAATTGTTCTGATAAAATATAAAATGTGTTGAAACTTAATCGTCCAGAATCTCTTTTTACGTGGTCATTTTGGGAAACGCCACGCACAAAAATATTCAATAGAAAAACCTATCGAATTCGTTAGAAAATTCTATTGAATTTCTATTAAACTTTCTATTAGTTTTTGGCTGATTCTATTGACATCTTCAATAGAAAAAGTCAACAGAATTCGATTTTTCTGTATAACTTATTCTTTTCATATATTTTCTATAGAATTTGCTCGACTCAAATTTTCGGTTTTTATCATTTTATTTTTCTTTTCTTCTCATCAAGAAAATCAAACGAAAAAACTTGGAACATTTGAGCCGAGGAAATTCTATAGGAAACATCTCAATAGAGTAAGTTATATAGAAAAGTTGAATTCTATTGACTTTTTCTACTGAAATATTTTCTATTGAACATTTCAGTAGGATCAGCCAAAAACTAATAGAACAGTTCAATAGAAATTCAATAGAATTTTCTAACGAATTCAATAGGTTTTTCTATTAAATTTTTTCGTCCGTGGGTCCTTATGTGCAGTGTCATCTGTTGGAATTCTAGAAAATTCCAGACATTTCGTGGTAATTCGAGAAGTTTCTTGAAATTTCGAGGAAATTCAGAGAGTTTCTAGAAAATTCGAGAAAGAAGCCAAGACCATGGACGTATCCACGTACAATTACTGCTGTATCGAAGCTACAACCGCCTGAAATTTTTGCGTTCTTTTATCAGTCCCGCAGGTGAAGGTAATTGATATTTAGTGGGGGCCTGCCTCCCACGTTGATGTTTCCATGGCAACAAACATCGCAGTAATTGCTCGCTTCAACCTAAAATCAACTTTCGATAAATGCAGAAGTGTTTTACGCAAAAGCTCAAGGTTTTCCTCATTCAATTGATAAAATGACTTCTACGGTGGACCCGGATGTGCCCCAGCGCGATGTCGATCCACTGAAATTCAAGAGTTGGAGGGAGAGTGAGAGTTCAGAGATGAACGAAAATAAAAAGCGGTTCCTCAAAGTTCTGGATCCTGACGACCCCCTCATGAGGAGATTTCAAGACGCTTTGAGGAGTCATCTGCTTCGAGTTGAGGAGAGATTGTCTGCGGAGATTGCTGAACTCGTAAGAATTCCCCGACCAATTTGATGACACTGATTTTTTTTTATGAAGATTTATGAAATCATTGAAGGCGGCGATTTTTAGGGATTATCACCTTTTTCATGGATTAGTCATTAAAAAAGTAATCTTTATTCTGAACATGACAACTTATAGACCACTCGGGCATAAATTTCGTTTTCAACGAATATGAGTACAGACCTCGTCTTCGACTCGGCCTGTAAACTTCACATTCGTCGAAAACCAAATTCATGCTCTTGTACTCTAATATACTATAATATATCTGTATTTATTGCAACGCGACGTAAACGAATGACGCGCGTTTATTATAGACTCTTCTTTACATTTCATTACAGGAAACGGGGATTTGGCGCACGCCGGGCGTGCACGGAAATTTTCTAGAAAAATTCGAGTACGAGTACTGGAAAAAATCACAATCCACCGACTGTGAAAAATTCTAGTGCTGCTAAGGTGAAATTTCTTAGTATTTCTGGTAAAATTTCTGGGGATTTCAGTGAAATTTTCACAGAAATACGGGGAAAAATTCATGTTTTCACAGAAATAAATAAATTTTCACAGAAATAAGGGGAAAAATTCACGTTTTCCCCAATAAAATTTCTAGTGCTGTCACTGGAATTTTTTCCTGGCCGTCACTTTGCGTCTCTTTTCCCTGCTAGCACTCGAATTTTTCTAAAAAATTTCTCTCCGCGTGCGTAAAATTTCACTTACGCACAAGTGATGAAAATGTAATATTAATGATCCCCGATTGAAAACCTCGCAATCTACATTAATTTCACAGCAAGCGGCGAATAAAGAAGCGTCAAGAAAGCGCGAGGAAAAAGGAATGGAGATGTACGAAGCCCAGCGAGAAATATCTCGTCAGCAAACTTCAATAGAAAAATACGCGATCTCCTTGGAAGACTTGAAGAACTCCCGAGAAGAAAAACAGCACCGACTCAAAGAGAAAAAGGAGCTGCGTAACAAAACCCGTCAAGAGGCGGATGAGGAGCGCCGGAGAGTCGAAGAGTTATCGAGGGAGATGGAGAGTTTATCCTCCCGATGCAAACGCTTCGAGGAGTTCGAGGAGGAGGTGTCGCACCACTTGACCATCGCGAAGAGAATGTCCGAGAAGGATGCGAGCGTGCAGAGAGAGCTGATTCGCCAGAAGCAGCAGGAGGACTATCTTCTCCTGAAGTTGAGCGAGGAGATTTGGAAATTGGAGAGGGAGATTGAGGATCTGCGGAGGCAACAGGAGGCCAAGAGCCAGGATAAAATAGTGGTTGGACAGACCATTTCAGATGCCGACGCTGATCTTGGGGCTCTGCAGAGAGAGAGGAAGGGACTTCTGACGGCTTGGAATCGAGTTGTGGCGAATATTCTGCAGAGGGATAAGATTACTGAGGAATTATCGGCGGAGAGGAGGTATAGAGGAGGATGGGGCCAAATGAATTCTTTTCACAATTTTTTCGGTGTTCATAACTCTGGAAAATTTATCAGTTGCGATCGGGGTAGGCTCCTCGCAAAAGGAAAGAATCCTACGTTCGATGGAACGAGAATTGTGCAATTTAATTAACAAATCAATGAATTATTGAGCTTCCAAAAAATCCTGAAGGGTCTATTCCGCCCCATTCACCCTTAAACAATTGGGGGAAGTGACTCAAACCCTTTTTTACGAATATCGAACGTAAAGAGATAGCGAAATTTTTATGAAGGCCCGTAGGCAAATGAACAGCTTCATAAGAATAAAAGAAATTGAAAAACATTGATCAAATGGTCAACGACACTAACTCTAGTTGTTTTTATTCAGGATTTTAATCCTGGGATTTATCACTTGCATTCTGAATCAATTAAAAACTTACGAACACTAAGGTGAATTTAAGCCGCCGCTAGGTAGATGAAGTCGAGAGCCGGAGGACGCTAAGATAATTCAGCGGAACATCATCTTTTTCTACGATTTAATCAACTTTATTGTTATAAATCCCCTAAGATTCCCTGAGTTTTTTAATTCACCACAGGCTGAAGAAAAAGGTCCTCATAAGACTTTCACTATCTCTTATAGATTCAAAGTCATTCATTAAAGACTCGTGGAATAAAATTAATGAGTTCGTGTCTGAGTTTAAGAGAAGCAGTCAAATTTGTATAAAGAGCTTTTCTGTAACCGCGAGATAAAAGCTGCGAGAAAGGTTCTAAGATTAGGTTTCCCATTTTCTTCAGATTGCGGTCTATTCTCCAAAACTTCATTATCAAGTGAATCGATTTCTAAACTTTTTGAGCCAATTTTCCTTTTGCAGTAAAATACGAGAGTCGTTCAAGACCCTTCAAGTTCGAATCGAGAAGACTAAGAAAGATACCGCGAGAGAGATGGAGACCAACGAGAAATTAACGGGGCTGCAGACTAGATTGGAAGAGGACATCAGATGTAATCAGTCGGCTATGGGAATGGAAAAGGATAAGGCCGATGTTTTGGAGTACAAAACACTTGACGTTGCGAAAATGCTCGAGAAAACCGAGGCCGATTACGACGCAGCGTCTTTCGTAATGAATTATTAACAATACTCCAGGTAACGTGATATCACAACTGCATCTGATTCTATTGTTCTCCAGGAATTTCAAGAACTCAAAAATGAAGAAAGGAGTCTGGATAAAGAGCTGGAGACACTGGGCAACGAGAAGACCGCTATCGAGGAGGAACTTATAACGAAATTGAGCGATAAAGTTACGCATGACAAGACTGCTGTGTATCTCAATAAAATCGTACGCGAAGCGAAGGAAACGGTCAATCAATTCGAGCTGACAATGCTGCAAACTGAGAACCATTATGGGAGAAATTTGTTGGAGTTGGAGAAAATGAAGAATTTTGTTGCAACTGAGAAGGAGGATTTGGAAGAGCTGAGTAAGGGGAATATCCTCAAGGAGAAGGAGTTGAATAAATTGAAAATGCAGATAGAGAGGTCCGAGTTGAGCATCGAGAAGAAACAGAAGAAAATAGCGGATTTGAATAGAGATATTGCGGAGGTATTTGCATTAATTTTGAAACTTTTTTATGAAGTGAGTAGCCTGTCGCGTTGAATGTTGCAATGTTAATGGTAATAATTCATTTGCTTGTATTGAAAAATAGATCTTTCTCATTTATCTCGGGATATTCATAACTAACAAGGAGAAAATTCAATTGAGCTCAGTTTAGACGGTAGTCGGACAGTTTTTCTCCGGACAAAATCTCCCTGAAAAAAATTTCCCCGGACAAAATCTCTCCGGACAATTGCTTTTTGCGAAATTTCCTCGAAAAAATTCCTTTCAACGAGTCTTCTGAGGGGTAAATTTTCCGCAAATAACAATTCCTATGAATTTAATTCTTTTGTAATTTCATTGAGGCTAAAGACTCGATAATTTCATGTGTTCTATTGTGTGATTCAGTGATAAAACCCCTTTAATTGAGCATTATCGTTATATTTATTTTGGCCGGATCCGGTTTCCTAATCGCAAATTCCTTTTTCAGGGAGATTTTATCCGGGGAAATTCTTTTTCGGGGAGATTTTGTCCGGGGAGATTTTGTCCGGGGAAAAACTGTCCTAGAATCAACTTCTAATTTTATACAATTTTCTGTGAAATTTAAAATTTCTTGATTTTCTTCCTCAAATCGAATTCAATGTCGTTATCCTGGAAATTCCCATCAAATTCTCCACGAAATTGTAATTTTGTCAAATAGTTTGAGAGATGAATTTCATAAAATCGTAAGAATCGAAATCCAATAATTTTGCATTATGATTCGATTCATATTATTCTAGATAACCAGATCAGGCGGAGCACTAGACATGACCACCCAGGACCTAAAGATCGCCTCCCTCGAGAAAAGGATCGAGGAGCTGGACTTGAAAAACCAAGAGTCCCAGAAATACTGGTTGCGTCAAGAAGGAAACATGGTGAATCTCAGTCAAGAGAGAAACACGCAGCTCCAAGAGCTCAGCCGATTGAGCAGGCAAATAACGATAATGGAGCAGAAAAACCTGAAGCTGGAGTACGCACTGGAGAAGGAGAAGAAGGACGAGGATAAAATCGATAGGCGAATGAAGGAGCTCCGCCAGAGATTGCTGAGAACCAACAGCCTCTTAGCCGAGAGAAAAGAACTGCGGAACAATCTCCTGGATAAAAATTTCATCACTCAGGATGAATACGTGAAAACCCTGAAGGAGGCTGAAGTTGAATTAGTCAGGCTCCAGACTGAGATAAAGGAGCTGAAGGAGGAGAAGGTGACGCTCGAGGAGAGACTCTGTGACGCTCATCGCGAGTATTTTTCTTGGGAGAAGAAAATGAAATTGGCTGTGGAGACGTCCAGGGTTATCAAGGAGGAACGAAATACTGGGGGGGATATTGCGATTATGAAGAGTGAGATCCACAAGATGGAGATGAGGCTGTCCCATCTGAGAAAGGTGCAGGAAAAAATGATCAGGGATATGGAGTACTGCATTGCCAGGAGGGAAGTTATCATCGATGGGGCTTTGGCGAGGGAGAAGAAGAATCCGAAGGGAATTCATAATAAGAGGGTGATGATGCAGAAGAGGATGGACGATCGAAGAATGAAGATTAAACAAGTGATCAAAGTGAGATTTTAATTAATTCCTTAATTCGTAATGCATCAATTGAATTCGGGAATTAGTTGATGATGAATTTTATAGGACACTAAGACCATGGAGAACACTCTTGGAGATATAAAAACAGCTCGAGCAAAGCTTCAAGCAGAAATCGACGAGAAGCGAACGCTTCTCAAGTCTTATCAGGACGCAATTCCTGACATTGATCGACAGATTTCTGAGGGGGAACTCTTAAAACACCATGTGAGCTCCAAAACGTCATATAGTGTTAGAATGTTTTAAAATTTAAATACCAATGTTTTGAAACTTGAATAATTGCGGATTTCATTTCAATTTGAAGTGAAATCGTTCCTGAAATTTCTTATTCGTCTTAGAAATTCAGCAAAATTCAGGTTTCCATGTGAGAGCTTGAATTTTCAAATATCACATTCAATTGAATTGCCATAATTTTCAATAATTTTCATTGTCACATAGACCTTGAAATGGCAATACTACTCAATTCTCTAGAAAACTTATTGAATTGAGTCTTCATTAAAAATTTCAAAAGTCAATTTGTAACAAAAGATAACTTTCAAATTATTTCCAGAAACTCGAATGTTTAGTTAGGAAGCAAAGAAAAGTGCGAATGCTCCAAAAAGTTCGCGATGGGCAATACAAAATGCTCTTCAAATCCGAGACGGCATTGAACGATGAACTAGAGAAACAGAGGGCCACGAATATTCAGTTGTCAGAAATAATGGAGGAAACCAATCGAGATTTTCCCCACCTGAAGGAGGACATCAGGAAAATTATCTTAACAATTCAAGCCTCATGATTTTTGTAACACGTTTAATTACTCAAAATAAATTACAATTTAACATAGAATCATTACATCAACCACCTCACAACGTGGTACGTTTTCTTTCCCACTCTCACCAACGTCGTATTATTCGGCAGGATGTGAATGCCAGGAGTAATAACTTCGTTCACATTCATGATTTTACTGTGGTTAATGTAAAATCCACCGGCTGAGATGATTCTCTGGGCGTCTCTGTCCGTTTTGAAGCAGTTTATCTTCATGGCGAGTCCGTAGGTGGTGATCCCTGGCTCTGGGGGTAGCTCTGATACTTTGGCACCCTCGAAGACATTTAGAATCTCATCGACACTCATTTTTGAGAGGGAGTCGAGGGAGTTGTCGTAGAGGAGTGCAGAGGCGTGGTTGGCTGCGCTGAGGCCTTCCTCTGCAAGCAAAGGACGCAAATTAAACACTTGCTGAGTCACACATTTTTTCTATAAATTTTAAAGTCATTCTTTCTCAAGATAAAAGACAATTGATAAACGATTGAATAGCCAAGAGCTAAAACCTTGCACAATAAGTAGATTTTGCACATCTTTTTAATCACAAATTATCTCCATAAGAGGGAATTCGAAGAAGAAACGATTATCACATTGAGAGGAAATAAAAATATTTTCTGAAACCACTTTTCTTTGAACGAAAAAAAAATTGCAAGTGACCATTTGAGCTTTTGGTCATTTTCAGCTTTCGATTTTTGTTGTTCAAACAAAACTTGTTCGTTTTTCTCTCAATGCACAATCAGCCCCAAAAAATATTCCTAAAACCGTAAATTAAACTTATTAATCCATACGAATTCTTTACCTCCATGAACCAACAGGGTAACATTTTCCGCCAAAATTCTCTGTGCTTCTCTCTTCTCAGGTGCCTCATTAAACTTCTTCATGATATCCGCAATTGTCTTCAAGTCCAGGAACGTAAAGAGTTTCAGGAAATTCTCGACATCGGAATCCCTCGTCCTAATGAAGAACTGATAAAGATTGAAAGGCGATGATTTCTCCGGGGAAAGCCAGACAGCATTTCCCACGGATTTCCCGAATTTCTTCCCACCCTCAGCAGTGATCAGAGGCAGAGTCAGCCCAAAGACCTGCTGCCCCGTGGATTTCCTGACGAGATCATGCCCAGACATGATGTTCCCCATCTGATCACTCCCACCTATTTGAAACCGACACTTGTAGTTGTTGAATAGGTACAGCCAGTCGAAGCCCTGGAAGACCTGGTAACTGAACTCAGTGAAGCTCATTCCGCCTTCTGAATTCAATCTGGACTGGACAGAACTCCTTCCCATCATTGTCCCCAGTCTGAAGTGCTTCCCAACGCCTCTGATGAACTGGATGACATTCAGGTCTTTGTACCAGTTCAAGTTATTCAGGATAATCGGGGGCTTCAGGGGCTCGTTATGTTTATCGCTCCAGAAATGAGCGTTGTGATGCTTGAAAATAGTCTCTATGTTCGCTCTGATCCCCTTGATATTCTGCTCCATCACTGCAACGTTAATTTCATCCCTCTCTTTCGTTCGGTGACTGGGGTCCCCGATCTGCCCCGTTGCTCCCCCCAGGAGAACGATCACTTGGTGCCCCCCTCGTTGCCAATGCAATAGGTTCATGAGGACTAGGAGGTTTCCCACGTGGAGGCTGTCAGCTGTCGGGTCGAAACCCGCGTAAGCTGATTGGGGGGAGCCCACTAGCAGGGCTTTCATTTCGGGACTGGAAATTAAATGCTATTATGGGGATTTTGATGATTAGTCTGCTCCGTGGAGTTATGGGGGTCCAATTTTTAGCAGAGGTAGCCAGATCCATAAATTATAATTACCGTTAAATTATTAAGTAGTCAACTCGTTAATATCACTCTTAAATTTCAGCTCTTCAATTTTAATTATTGAAGTAATCATCAATTTAAATATTCAAATTCCGAATCATTTATTAATCAGAAATTTTGTTAGGAATATTGATGATGTGGATAATCGAAAATTGCGTGTAAGAAATGTAGAATTATTTACTTAATAGAAAATTTACAGCTCCATATTGTTAAATATTTAATTCATCATCAATTGAAAATTTAGATTATCAATTATTTTACTATTTTTCGTCATTTTTGTTTTTGTCATATGAGAAATTTATGACAATCATGTGATGTCATATTTTTTCGTCATAATTTGAGTGGTTTGGCATTGTCAATAGTATTCAGATCGAATGCAACTTTCATATTGAATCTACGTCATAAAGAATGACATAAAATTGAGAAGTCATTGTGGAACTTGGAAAAATGTGACATTTTTATTGCCATTTAGAGTGACCTCATGATCTATTTGGAATTAACGGCCATGTTAATCATGTCACCGTCATATGACGTGTTCCAAAATTTTTGCATAGCCCTAATTTAGACCCTTCACGTTGATAAAAATTTCAATTCACCACGTTGACTATTTAAAAATAAAGTAGAGAATATACAACGAATGTAGGCGTTACCATGCGTTTGAATGGGGTTTAAAGTTTCAAATATCATGAAAATTTGCCTGGATACCCCAGGTTTTTCCTTGGCCATTGGATTTACAATATTTCCGCACATTCTCCTTAATTTTGTTTTCATTTTTGGAGTCTTCCAGTAGGTGAATCATCAACTTGAAGATAAATCCCATAAGAGCACTTGTGGCAGAAACAATTTGCTCATTTAATTTTAAATAAAATGTTGATCTCATGTTCCCTCATCATTATAAAAAAAAAAATACACAATTCTCCACGAACATGCAAAAATTAAGTTTTAAAAATTAAGAAAATGGATAAACATCCTTAAATTTCGAGTTATTCACATAACATAAAATAGATGAGTGTGATTAATATGGATAACATACCCAGCAGTTTCTGGAAACATCTCCTGGAACATACCCCTGTCATGAAGCGTGAGAATGTTCCTATTCGTGTAAAATCTCCGCTCATATCTCAGGATCGATTTGCCGGTGGCACATAACCTTAAGGTAGTCCTCCAGTTCATCTTGAAATTCCTACAATAATCGTCAAACAAGCCACTGTATGTCTTGTTCCATTCAATACTCAACACTACTGTCAACTAAACAAGATGTTCAAAACATCTTGACAACTGCTCACAACTTATTCACACCCTCACATACGAACATAACACAAAATTAGTTTCTCCAACTTACATTCAATTCAATGAATAAAACCCCAAGTTACTCCTCAACTCGACTTCATCCGTTTCACCCACGAACATTTAGTTCATTGCCATTCCCTCATTTGCAATGTCAACAATGTTTGCTCCGAAACGTGTGCTCCAGTAATTTATTGTTGAGAATCTGCAAGCACGTGTCATCCCTCATTGGCTCAGCCAACTCCCCCAAAGTAAACTGAGACAGCGCTACAACAATGCCAGATGGAAAGAGAGAGGGGAGTGATGACGAATTTATGCGGAAGCAACTGTGAATGAAACGGAATGACAACACTGACTCCAGTTGTCATATCAAAATTTTTCAGATGTGTCATCCAAATTCTTCCAACACGAACTCATAAAAAACCCCCGCAATAGCAAATAAACAATGCAATCTCGAAAAACCAACTAATTAATTGCCGTTTCCATCATAAACTAAAAATCCAAATACAATTTCTGAGGGATAGATCTCGACTTTTTTACAACTAGTCAACTGCAAGAAACCAAACAAAAATAAAATTTGAAAAAAAAACACGAAAATAAGGCGCAAGTGGAGAAGATAAAAATCGAAATTCGATTGGAGTAAAAGATTACAAAAAAATCGACAGCAGGAATTACTTGCAAAAACATTCTTTTTTTACCAAAAAATGAGAAACGATCGAGGGAAAAATAGCCTAAAGTAAATTCAGACCCGAGTAGTGAAACTGATTGGAGCAGTGAACTTCCGGTGGTGGAGTGAAGCAACTAGAGGCAGCAGTAGCGATTGAAACGGACCACGGGGACCGCACGCGGACGTACCATACGCGTGTGCAGTGTGCGCGGCTATTAACCCAGGGATATAATAATTATTTTTTTAAAGTAAAGATTAAAGAGAAAAAAACCTATCAAAGCTATTTCTAATAATCCCTAAAATCACAATATACGTACACATACAGTTTAAATAACCATAACATTGTGAATAAAATAGTAAGTGTACCACTGATTACGTTAAAACACTGATAAATATGGCGAACAACGTAGCACCGGACTCGTGGGAACAGCAGGCGGACAATGGTGATACGACAACTGCCGACAGTAAATTTATCGAGGGTAAATTTTCAACATTGAACGTTAATGCAGCGGAATTTGTGCCTTCCTTCTGCATAAATACAATACCTGATAAAACATCAACGAGTTTGCCAACGAGTGTTGACGACAGTTGTGTGGATAACAGTACCGGGAATACTACAGGCGAAACGCCAATTGGTGATACCAATACTGCTGATGTCGCCGTGACCACCTTTGTACCACCCGAGACTCACCATGGTTAGACAATTAAATTCACAATTTCGTATTTTGCATGGCTCAAGATGCATTCAATTCATTTATTTTTTCTCCCATTATGTTTGGATCAAGTCCTTGTTTTTTTTACGCCACACGCTCGTTCCCCTGCAGGCATTGCACGTCTATAACCCCATTCTTTCCACACGTCGCCCTCTGGTATACACTGATAACCTGAATGACGATGATACAGCTGGTTATGTCCAGTTTTGGAATCTTCCAATGCTCTCGTGTCGCGTTACCAATGCGTTTTAAAACGTTTGGGGTTTTTAAACTCGAGAGAGTCTGAAGTTCCCCAGAATTCTCCCATCACCAACGATTTTTCGATTTGCTGCAGTCTCTCGGGATTAATCACTCCTGGGGAAGGAGACATCTGTTGCGGGAGGAATGGGGAATGTCTCGAGGCTACTTTCCAGGGGTTACGACACGCTAGATACGCTCTTTCGGTTTATTCTGGAATATGCTGATAGGATACAGAAATAGAATGCCAGGCGGTTGTATCCAGCTGGTTACATCCAGTTCTTTTTCGTGATTACTTTCTCATTGTTCTTCGGATGATGCACTTGGGGATTAATTAGGGCCTGTGACACTGGGAGGTGCCATATGGAGATAACACTTCGGTCTAGCTTGTGTCTCGTGTGCGTGTGAGATTTGTGGACCTGTAGAGACCCACTTGCATCTGCTTCGACATTCGAGCATGGTTGAAACTGTGCCAAATTTGCAAATTGATGTTTTTTCGCTTGGTTTTGTTCTGATTGAAGCAGGGTGCTGAAAAAATTGGGTTGATTCCCGAGGAAAATCGCTGTAGCTCCGAAACTCGTGGGTTTATCGGAAAAAGTCAAGAGAGATTTTTTGTGGGAAATTTAATTTTCTACAAAAAGTTCCTGTGACGTTTTTTGGTTGAGTCGATGGTTCTGGAGATATTTCGAGTTTTTTTGAAGGGAAAAAACAATTTTTGATGCAGCCAATTGAGACGAATGGTGATGGGTCTTTTTTAATTGCAGCTGCAACTGTACCAGCTCTGCCACCCGATCCTGTCAGCAACAGGATGGACGAGCCACCCGCAGGCGGGGGAGCACCTCCGCCCAGTGTCACTGATCCTGAGGCCAGCAACAGCAGCCCTGAGCATCAGCCCGCCGACTCCTGGGAAGAAGCTGCTGTCGATGGTGATCCATTACTAACACCAGAGAATGAAGAAGTATGTTATCATCACTGATGAGCCCAACGTCACTCTGGGGAGAACTTATTCTGACGATTTATTTTTGTAACAGGCTGATATCGAGGAGGATGAAGAAGCGGTTGTGAAAGTAACTAAAAAGAAACCAGTCAAAGTAACAGAGGATACTAAAAGTAAAAAGGAACACGTCAATGTTGTTTTTATTGGACATGTCGGTGAGTGGAAAGAGATTCTGGGATTTGGGGGAATGCAGTGTTTAAAGTAATGATAATTTGGGGGTTGTAACTATTAACGCAGAGAAAACTCGAGAGATTAATTAATTCACAAATGAACTTGTTCATTAAACTACTTGGTAGGAATTTTATTGGAATTGTATTGAAATTCTAGTAAAATTCAATTAAGAATTGAATCAATTTTTTTGCTAATTTCTGTTTATGATTCCGATTGAATTGATGCAGAGAAAATTCTATAGAAAATTAATTAATGAATGAGCAAAAGTCACATTTCACGTGTAAAAAAATTTAATAGAAAACCCTTTTGTAGAAATTTTAAATTGAAATTTTGTCACGTAATTTTTCCACAAATACAGACAGAAAAATTCAGCAGATGTTGATTTTTTTTATACACTTCATTCTCATCTATTTTTTTGGTATTTTTTAACGAGAAACCAAACTAAATACAATTGAAAGCATAAAAAATTTATACCCAAGGATTTCCAGGGAAAGAATACCCACAGAATCAGAAAAAAATGATGTCTTGATATTTCCATTGAATTTTTTCACACGTGCCAGACTGTATACAAGTGATTAAATACAACAAACGATTTCACACATAATTAATGTGTTTAGACGCTGGTAAATCAACAATTGGCGGTCAAATAATGGCTCTAACAGGTATGGTAGACAAGAGAACACTCGAGAAATACGAGAGAGAGGCTAAAGAGAGGAGCCGAGAGACGTGGTACTTGAGTTGGGCTCTAGATACCAACCAAGAGGAGAGAGAGAAGGGAAAGACAGTTGAAGTTGGCAGAGCGTACTTTGAAACTGAGAGAAAGCACTTCACTATTTTGGATGCACCAGGACACAAGAGTTTTGTACCAAATATGATTGGTGGTGCTGCACAGGCTGACCTTGCTGTGCTCGTTATATCAGCTAGAAAGGGCGAATTTGAGACTGGCTTTGACAGGGGTGGACAGACGAGAGAGCACGCTATGCTCGCTAAAACAGCTGGTGTTAAGCATCTTGTAGTACTAGTTAATAAAATGGACGATCCAACTGTCGAGTGGGATGAGAAGAGATACAACGAGTGCAGAGATAAAATTCTGCCTTATCTACGCAAATTAGGATTCAATCCAGCTAAAGATCTCACATTTATGCCGGTATCGGGACAATTAGGAATTGGATTGAAGGATCCTATTCCAGAGTCACTATGTACATGGTACACGGGCCTACCTTTCATTACATTCATCGATTCTCTGCCGTCGTTAAATCGTAAGAGTAATGGACCATTTATCATGCCAATTGTTGATAAGTATAAGGACATGGGGACGGTCGTCATGGGGAAAGTCGAGGCGGGGGAGGCGAGGAAGGGACAAGCATTATTAGTCATGCCAAACAGGGTAATTAATCTCATCAAGTTATATAACTCCATCTATTTAAATTCAGTAATGAATACTGGTGATTTTGAGAGAAAGGGACCTGTTTTTGTAGCTGGGGAAATTTACAATAAAAATGTCTCCATATTTTCTCTCCAAATTACTCACTTGAATTGATTGATGAAATATTTAAGAAGACACTATCAATCGACTTGATTTATTTAGTCTCACGACTTCACTACCAAATTGTTAATTTATCTCAGAAACGAGTGACTTTACGAAAAAATACTGAAAAAATATTATTTCACATTTCCTCCTAAAATCACTCATTATGGAGATAATAAAGCATTCAATAAAGCTTTATCAATTAATTGGAGTGACTTTAGGGAAAAAATGTCAAAAGACTTCCCTTTACCTACTAAATTTTCTAAATTTTACAAAAATGTTCTAACATTCATTAAACCCATAATAACACCTTGCAGACAGCAGTAATTGTAGATCAACTATGGTCTGATGACGAAGAAGTCACGTCTGTTGGACCTGGTGAGAACGTGAAAATAAAACTAAAGGGAATAGAGGAGGAAGACGTGAGTCCCGGTTTTGTCCTTTGTGACGGCAATAATCCCATCAAAACTGGGAAGACATTCGACGCCCAGGTTGTCATATTAGAACACAAGAGTATCATCTGCGCTGGTTACAGTGCAGTCATGCACATTCACTGCGCAGCCGAGGAAGTTACTGTCAAGGCACTTATATGTCTTGTTGATAAGAAAACTGGTGAATATAGTAAAACGCGACCGAGGTTCGTCAAGCAGGATCAGGTTGCTATTATGAGAATAGAGTGTGCTGGAGTTATTTGCCTTGAAAAATTCAAACTATTTCCACAAATGGGACGATTCACCCTCAGAGACGAGAGTGAGTATTATAATTATATTAACTATAATCCTTTCTATTATTGGGTTTCTTTCGAGTGCAACATGTTTTCTCAAGTGATTTCTTCCCTATGTATTGAGTAAATATTAATTAACTGAAAATGAAACAGCAATTATCTTGTTAACGAGTTAATTTGAGGGCAAATGTGACGGAATATCTCCTGTTGCATTTTATTCTAAAATAACTTGTGTTCTAGATAAATAGATGACTAACAGAACTATTAAATTCCACTTATCACTTTTTACGAACTCATTACGAAATTTTAGAAAAACCTCTCAAGATTTTTTTTACTCTCAACAAACAATGGAATGCATTTAGTTTCGTCATTATCTTATGTATGAAAAAGAAATTCTATTGAAGCTCTACTGAAATTGTATTGAAGATCATACAATTTTACTTCGCTATTTTTTATGGGCATTTGAGAAAAAAAAGGTCAATAGATTTTTATTTTTCTATAAGAATTCTTGAGCATAAATTTTTTGAGTTTTTTCTGCTGTATTTTTATTTGTTTCTCACAATTACATCTACGAAAAAAACTTGGAACATTCATGTCTAAGAATTCTCTTACAAATCCAATCCAATTTCTTGAAGAAGTGGTAAATTTTTCTATTATTTTTTCCGTATGTATTTTTGCTGAATTTAATAGTGAGTTATTAAAAAAATTTCTAAACTTTTATTTCCAAGGGAATGTATTCAATCGCACTTCGATCACTGTTTCTTTCACATAAAATAGTTGCTTATGGTGAAGTGGAGGAATTTTGAGAATATCATAAAACCCTTTTAGTTGAGAATTTCAAACAAAATCATTGAATTTCATCCATCAAGGGCTACAAATGCACTATAAAATCACCCTAAAGCCTTCAAAATGTTTTCTCACCATCGAATGCATCTAATTAAAATCCTTTAATTACTTGTTCCAGATAAAACAATTGCCATCGGCAAGGTGCTGAAGGTGGTCGAGTAAGAGAACCATTAAATTCCACCACTTTGCTCAACTTCGTCGATCGTAACTGCAGGTCAATGGCAAATGAAAATCTGAACAATTACTAGCAATGTCGCGCGTGTGTGTTGATCAACGGTAAATCGAAAACAATATAAACTACAATTTAATTGCAACAACCCATTGGGTCGCAACAAGATGTTGAACAAATCAACACCAACAGAAATGTTCGAATGAGTTTACAAGTTTCAAGCGAAATAGTTTTGAAAATCTATTGCCCCGTTTTACCCCTGAGGATTTTTTGGGCAACGGAAAGCTACACTGGCCTTGCCATTTTTTACTCTCATTTTAAAGTGAAAAACACTTTCTTTTCGTGAAATCAATTCTTCATGTCCATTACGAACGTTCACGCCCTTCATACATTTCCTTTGTTCCTCATAGACAATTGGGATATAAGTTGAACGTAAAAGGGGGGGAAATACGTGAATGTGCGTGACTGGTTTTCAGAAGGTTGTAAAAAGCCTTGGGTATTGGGTTCTTTTTTTTCATCGCGAAGTTGTAGATGGGTTCACGACCTCATTCAGAATTTTTCGTTCCTCTCTTTCACATCGAATTCCCTCACGCAATCCTCAATCGGATCATTCAATCAAGCAAAAATACTGAATTTAAGAGGTAACTGGAAAAAAATGTTATAGGAAAAGTGACCGCATTTTCTAGAAAATTCGATTGTATTTCTATTAAAAAATCGAAAAAGTTTTTCTGATTTTATTGAAAAATTCAACAGTCTTTCTGCACTTTTTTCTCAACACAAATATACAAAAGAATATTTTATTTGAAGAAATCATTAGAATGTCATTTTTCTATGCATCTTATTCTATTGGGATATTTTTTATAGAAAATTCTTTAGCCTAACTTTCCCAACTTTTTTTGTTTGATTTTGTTCATGAGAGAGGAAAAATGAGTGAAAAAAAATTAAAAAATTTCTGTCGATGAATTTCTCCAGAAAATATCTCCATCGAATAAGTCTTTTAGAAAGATCAAATTCCATTGTTTTGTTTATAAAATAGCTTCTACAGAACAATTTTTCCTTTTTAATAGAATGGATGGAAAAAGGAATAGAATTTTCAATAGAGATGCACCAGAATTTTCCAAAAAATGTTCTACATCTCTCTATAAAATGTTTTCGTATATGTAATCATTAATAAATCATCTTTTACGTGAAACGTGCGGAAAGCAGTCACGCACGTTCACTCAAGCTAATATATACCCAAACTGCATACATCTCTACTGCTGCGCATCCACAGTTGTTGGTTATTATCCATCCGTTTTACTCACAAATTAAAATAACTGTAATTTTGAGGCATAACGCGCGGCTTTGCACATCAACGACGGCATTTGGCATTTCCGTGAGGAAACGAGTCATAACGATTGAAAATTGAAGAAAATAAATAAAGTGGAAGCAGATAAATAAAAGATAATCTAGAAAAACAAACTTGTGACGATAAACTCGTTGGAATGGACATTATGAACGCAAACAGCCTCTCACACGAAGAATTCACTTCTTCTGCAACTCTCTTTTTTTTCGTATTTCTCAACAATTGTACAAGCGTTTATTATATCTCTGTTCATCTCAAGTCACGTAATAGGAATGAAAATATCGACTGATGGGAGAAACTGAATACGAGGGGGAATTATAGAAAGGGACCTTTTTGTTTTTTAGTTGAAGAGATTAATAACTGAAAATAAATAATTATGAATTATAGTATCATTATTCTTCATCATTATCGCTAATATCTATTAATAATTACCAAATTGGCGGGTAAGAGGTGATAAAAATTGATGAGAATCATAAAATTAGTTGCAAAAAAAAATTTTAATGAATAAAAAATAAATGAACAGATGATTACGTTAATTAAAAACAACAGTTGGTATGCATTCGTACAATGAGCTGGTGTTATGCAACAAGAACAACTAATTGAAATATTATTATTATTATTGCTATATTATTATTATTGTACTGTTTCTTATTTTATTGCCATTAAAAACGAGTTTACGATAACACTGAATTATTTAGTCTTCCGTTTTGAGCCACGGCCCAGGAATCTTACCTTTACATCTCACTTTTCTCAACTGTGTTCTCTTCTATTCCCACTAATTTCATTGATTTTCTCATTATCACGTTAATTTTCATTTCACGGAAAACTGAAATATGAAGAAACAAATGTAAGGCCTCAGAACGTGTGTTTTCAGATGAGGAAAAACGATGTGGATCGTATGTAAGATATATGTAAGGATATATGCTTGAACACGCGACTTCATTGTCGATGCCGAACGCAAAAAACCATATTATTATGATGAAAAAATTGAGAAAAATGATGAGAAAAGTTTAAAATCGGTGAATGGGAGTAAGAGGATATTTTACTTGAGTTTGAAAAAGTGCTTTTAACAATGAATGATTACTGCAGACTAATATGTGTAATAAATAATTTATAAATTGACTTAAAAAATGAATTAATACAAGAGACGAGACGTTCTGCGTGTCCAGTTGTAATGAAGATAAACAAGGGGGGGGGAAGGATGATAAAACATTTCTTAGTGCAGTAATAGCCGATGGGATTTAGTGACCTACGGTAGTTACTTGTAAAAAATAAGGATCGGCAACGACCCCATTGTTACTATTAATTATTAATTATTAAGATAGAATTAATGAATATTATTAATGAGGTAATTGAATATTATTATGAGGAAAATTGAGGATAGAATGCGAGATGCTAATGAGAATTAATAAAATCGGTGGGGAACGCAGGTCGGCATTCTCGAACGTGTGATTTTATTGAAAGAGGATAAAATGAATAAACATTTTATGGAAATTCAATCGATGATTAATTGATATGGAGAAACTAATGAAGTTGATTGAGAGTGACAAAAAAATAAGAAAAATTAAAATAGATGTCCAAGAGGCTTAGCGTGAACCACGTAAATGGGTCGCGGTCACATTCATATTTTTATATAATATATCACGTGCGCCACCATTTTTAATTAATTATCAGAGCCTGGCCGGTGGGATCGGTCGATCCTCCGTCCGTCGACCGGTGGATGTGTAAAAATGATTTTTAATGAAATTTCAAGATAACGGAGAACATCGTTCTCTGGATAGAATTCAAATAATTTTTATGGGCATGACGACGAAAAACATAATTAGAGAACACATGAAAAATTCAAATTGCTTTGGGAATAAAACACGCGAGGCATTCTTAGAGAAGGAGATAATTTTTGACAAAAAATGGAAATTGGGAAAAAAATTAAAAACGTGCAAATAATGTAGTGGGTGCGTGTGCGAGAGTGCTCTTAAGTTTAGGGTCTACATTTGTACAAGGGACTTATTTGATTGCGTAATTAATCCTTGAGGATGATTTTCTCAATCAATGAAGAGCGATTTTCGATCAATGGGAAGTGCACGTGGTTTCACAACTGCTATGTCGAAAAATTTCATTGGAATAGGGGATGACCGACGCAAAGTATCAAAGTATCAAACTCTGAAAAATCGTGGAGTTCGATGAAAATGGAAAAAACTACTTGTAAAAATTGCCCGAATACCTGATTTCAGTGAATACTTTTATCATTCATGTTCCCTGCTGAATAAACATGAGTTTTATGTGATCAAAGGATCTCCAGATGATTTTTAATTCTCGAAAATCCACGAATCTCCGAGAAATTTGTAACAATCGAAACTCAATTTCCTCTTTCTTTCAAAACATTAGCTACATTGAAACGAAATAAACAAAGTGATCTCTGCACAACTGAAGGAAAATCTTGTTCTGGTTCAATGAGTGAATTATGAAGAGAATAAAAAATAAATGCTGCCTTATATATGTGTAAATACCGTAAATGTACTCTCGCGCCAAACATTAACACGCACGGCTCCCTCTCGTCTCTTTTTGTACAAATATGAACTAAATAAACATTACTATCCATCAATCTAACTATTAAGGAGGATGATATTTGATGCTAACAGGGAGGATTGCTAAAAATGACAATGAGTCGTAACATGCTACTTCATTCTTCGACTCGCTTTACCATTGCTTTGAAAATTCAACACAAAATCGACACACATGAACAAAAACTTAACTGCGTTTCTAATTGTGTATAGAAGGTGGAATCCCGTGATCATTGTGAAGATGAATAAAATTTAACAGAATAATATTGAGAGAGCAAAACATTTTTGAGAATGAAAGAGTATGAGATTTAAGTGAATTAAACGTTTCCACGTGTTATCAATAAAAGAAAATGTAAATCCATGCAGATGCTAGAGTTTTTATTACTATTTTTTTTTATTGAGAGGGAGAATAGCGGGAGTGGAGTGGTAGAAGGAGATAATCTTACTTGAAGGTGGTCGTCGTGTACAGCTGCTTAACTACAGGAACTCTGAAATGTGGCTGTTTGCTGTTAAATTTCCATCTCTATCCTTTCTTCGGTACAATTTTAATAGCGAAGCGGGAAAACGACTCAAGTCGATTTTGACTATTGCCCAGTTTTCAATGAATATCTCGAAAGCTAAGGGAGATGGCAAAATTTTTGTCAAAAAGGTCATTACGAAAATTTCGTTATCTCTCTTAGATTCGGAGATATTTCTCGAAAACTCAGCTAAGGGCTAAATCGACTCGTTTTAGCGCTTCGCTGCTGATTTTTCTGTAACAACCCCTGAGAAATCATGGGTTGAATGTAAGAATAAATAAATGACCTGATGAAGGACACTTTGAGTGTCCGAAATGTTGGCAAAGATAAAAGAATTTGTTGTTCTATTCTTTCAGTTTTGGAATTGCTTACTTAAAAATGTTGTGATAATTTTTTCATGAATATTGTTGGATCCAAGGGATATCATAAATTTGATTACCTTAGGTTCGTCAAAAATCAATTCTTTAACTAGTGCGTCCAGTAATAATGGCATTTTACGCAAAATTCGCGTGCGCAAAACTTCTCACGCATTGAGATAACAAATCTGTCGTAAATTGGTAAACCAGGATAATTGCATTTTTTTCAAAAATACTTTTTTTTTAAAACAATACGCTTATCTTAGTTTGCCAATTCACGACAGAAATAGCATCCCACACTCGTGGGAAAAGTGCCCCTTTACCTGCAGAAGGCTAACTCTCTTGAATTCCCAAATAATTGTGAATTTATCGTTATTTGATACTGAATAATGTCCGTAATACCGATTATGGAATCATCATTACATTTAGCCACAAATTTCTCATGATGAACGAAGTTAAATGGAAGCTGTGGGCTGTATACTTTCTCTAAATCCAAAAAAATCCATTCAACAATACTTCTAAGTTCTTGAAAACACTACGATTCCATAACTGGGCCTCATTTCTTAAAAGTTCCATGACTGGGTCACTGACGGTACTCAAATTTTGATTGAAGATTCAAGTAATTTCAGGAAATCTCATCTTCTCCCCGCATCACATCAAAATGTGAAACTTCATTGAATTCTCAGTGAAATTCAAAACTCACTGAAAATTCAATGCATTTCACTCGCCATTCGAAATATTTATCGGAGTTGTCTGAAGGTGCTACGAAAACGTTCGAAATAAATGTCGAGTTTATTACACATATATCAGTATATCACCCAAATCTCATCAGCAGTCTCTTAATACTCGTAAAATATGGGATTTTTTCTTTATTACAAAAACTTATTCGTAGTCCTCTTCAGGACGTATCGTGGGAAATCTCCGGAGAATCTGTTGCTGCTGCTGTGGCCGTCTCTGCTGCAATGGGATATTTACCTCTTCGGGACTGCGGAATACCTGATTGGCGGGCGCACGGAATTGTGAAAAACTGTGGGGAACAGGGCGCGATGCTGATGGTAAACTATTGCCCGTTGGTGAATGCTGGCTCAGATAAGATTGCTGGTGAGATGGCCGCTTCTGGAGGTTCGAAGAGGGCTCGTATTCCTCCGATTCGCGCTCATCCGTGAATATGTCCCCGGGGTAGTATCTTTCGCTGTACCTCAGTGTCACATTTGGTTTTGTTTCTGCTTCCTCTTGATTCAGAGGCTTGTACAAGTACTCATTGACAAAGTGGTATTTTGAACTCTTTTTGCAGTTTATGTCGCCACTCGGGGGCATGCATATCAAGTGAACCTGAAAATTGTTGAGTGATTATTTGAAAATTTCACTTGTTAGTCGTAGGATGACATAGTACGCACGCTCAACGTGCGCAAAACCCCACTTTACATGCCTTGTGATGAAATAGTATATTTCATAACGAGTGCAAAAAAGTGTTTTTTGGCGAGTGGGAGGTTTATATCACGCGCCGAAGGCGCTCCATGAGAATTAATAGAAATCAGGAACATTCGGAAAAATACTCTCGAATCCCCTATTAATTGAAAATTCAGTGTAATTTGGTACTGAATATTCATCTTGTGATTGACAAATCAAGTAAGAGCGAATCCTCGTCTTGCTGCTGCCCAAAAATCTAGACTTCCGTTGAATTTCCAGTGAAACTTGACGGAGTGACGGCTCATTATTCTTCAGTACTCATCCATTTCATTATCCTCTCATTTTATTTTAAACCTATATTTTACTTTACGATTCTGTCAATTACTGCTAAACTGTCCATAAATTTAATTCTTCCTCAACAATGACCCCAGAAATAATGTTCACTGCAATATTACCTGGTGGAACGTGAAACCTTCCGGACATATCCACGAGTGTTTAGCATTATCATGGCAGTAATGAAAAACTTCACAATTGAGGTCCTCATCGGCATAGTACCCAGTTTGTTTTTCAATGCAGTCGAATTTGCTCTGCGGCAACAAGAGGCTCAAGCGATCGGGCTCATCCTTCTCTTCCTCAAGGGGTTCCTCCCGCTATGAAAATAATTTTACCATGTCTCAGTAAACATCGGTAAACATTCAACGACGGAATTTTTCTTATGTATCTCCTTTGGATAATTTAAGGGGATACGTCGGTGAAATTTACAACTCCTCACTGGGCCTTGATGGGCCTATGATGGAATATGGTAATAACTAGGGAGAATCACCGACCCGATTGATTTTGCCCCGTCTAACCACGAAAAACTTCATTTTTTCCAGTTTTCACCTTCAAAGCGCTCCCTACGCCGTAGTCTCAATACGATTTTAGCCTTTTTTAAATGTGTGTTACACTCCACAGAATGAAGTTAAGCATCCGTTTTACTTTATTTGCAATAGATCATGAATAAATCAGTAGCGAAGTGGTAAAAGGAGATAAGTCAATTTTGACTATTGACCAGTTTTCAATCAATATCTCAGAATCTAAGGAAGATAGGAAAATTTTTGTTATAACCTTTTTTGTGGAGCCGATTAAATGCTACAACAAATGTGATTATGAAAATTTCGCCATCTCCCTTAGATTCAGAAATATTTCTCAAAAACTATGGGAGATAAGTCGACTTGTCTTCGTTTACCACTTCACCACTGAAATGAATTTTGAATTTCGCACGGAGAGAAATATTCAATAAAAATCACGTATCCTTTCTGTAATTCCGGAGCGAAATGTGGTTGTAGGACATTTTACGGAACTGTAAGGTGATTTTTTTACTAAAATCACGGAATTTTTCCAGGGGATCCGCAATTTTTCCCTGAGATCTCCTGTGAAAAATTACGATACCGTCACTTAAACTTTCTGAGTCGATTCCGTCATCGGTGAGCGAACCGTGAGTTCCGTAATTTTTACTGAACTCTCCGTGCATAAATTCTACTCTACTCTAGAAACGCGGAAAATTGATGAAATTTAAAATTCATCTATTCATGATCTATTGCGAATAAAGTAAATCGGATGCTTAACTGTATTCTTTGGAGTGTAACGAACATAAAAAAAACTAAAATCGTACGGAAACTACGGCGCAAGGACCACTTTGAAGGTAAAAACGGGAAAAAATGAATTTTTTCGCAATTTTCCCTAGTTGTTCGCATATTTCGTCATGTATAACAAACTGTTCAATAGGTCTCAAGGCCCAGTGAAGTCTTTTACCGGTGCATTTTTGTCGTACGGCCCGTTCCGCGGCGGTCCTCCCCGCAGGCCTGAAACTATCCTTATAGTTCCGTCCGACGAGGATGTGGGTTTGCGGTACAGCTGAAAAACGAGAGCGAATTAGGGTAATAATCTAATTGGAAATTATATAAATAACTTTCTCTCCGCTATTTACAGGCTGCTGAGATTGTCGGTAAATTGGCGGTGGCACTGGCGTAGGCGTCACCGCATTATCCTCGTAGCTGTCATCTCTGTAACTACTGCTGGCGGCTCCAAGGCCGGGGGTATATAGAGGTCCGAGATTGTTCGATTTTCCCAAAAAAGAAGACCCTCGGGAATCGACATTGTAAGAGCTCTGGGTAGCCGCGGTAGTTACCCACAAGAGTAAAAATATACGATACATTTCTGGAACGAGAGGCACGGAATAAATTATAAACTTTCACAGGCTATTACTCATTCTTCCCCTGCACCATCAAAATACGTGTTTGCATATGGGAAGGATTGCGGCTCTTCCGAAAATATTCAAAGCACTTAACAAACAGCGAGAAATGAAAGGAGTTTGAAATCGAATTTCTTCCATGGGAAAGTGTGCCTGGCATACAGAACCGACGCTTTTTGCTTTTTTTCCATCATTTTGCGTGGCAGGATTTCATGCTCAGAGGAGAACAAGTCATTTACCATGCTCACACATGAATCTTTTAAAATTTGCGCGCTGTGGGGAATAATTCTACGTGCAGGGAGAAATTTAGGAGAGAAGACTTCGCTGGGAAATTCTTGGGGACCATTCTATTTTCGGCATTTAGTTTTCATCTATTCTATGGCGAAATTGCGGAGTTCTTGTGCACATTTTTTTGTGATAACATCTAAAATTTTTGTGATAATATCGAAAAAAAGGACACATCGTTTTCATTTTTTTACAACTGATCCTGTTTTTATGGTCTCTATCGAAATTCTTCGCGTGTTTTTATTTTTTTCTCTTATTAGAGAATTTAAACAAGAAACCCTTGAGAATTGGGGCTGAAGAATTACTGTAGAAACAATTTTAGTAGAATGGGTGAAATAGAAAGATTTAAAGATTATTCTTTCAATTTTGCTAGTGAATTTCAAATACTCCTTTATTCATTCCTCAAGTCCATATGTGGCCCAACGTAATTGGTTGCTGGAGAGTGTTGGCAACAATACGCCTTAAAATTATAATTCTCTACAGAAATTCCCCGCGTGTTTCTGCTCCATTGTTTTCTCTTTTTTAAAAATTCAATCAGAAATGTATAAAAAATCTGAGCTGAAGAATTTCTATTCTAGAAACAATCTCAATATAATAAGTAAACTAGAAATTCAAATTTTTTGAATTCTAATTACAAAAAATTGAATAATTAATAAGTTTACTAATTAAATGATTAATTAGTTTTAAAAAAATTGCAGAAAAGTTATGGAATTTTTCGATAGAATTCACATTTACAGAAAATTTATTCAAATTCATAAAGAATAACGAAGACAATTATTCTTTTAATTTTGCTGTTGAATTTCAACTGCTCTTTTATTTACTCGTCAATTCCATATGTGGCCAAAGATAATTGCTTGCTCGAGATTATCGGTAACAATACGCCTTGAATCGTTGAATTACAGATTAATGCATACAAGTTACATCTAGATTGTGAGCAAATACTTTCACTCACCAGTGAGAGCAGTGGAGGTGCACAAAAAGATACAACAAGTAGACCAGACTCACGCCCAAGCTGGGCGATATAATGAATAAAGTTTCGTACGGAACAATTCGAACAAGCTACATTCCCAGCAGGATTCACGGTTGATCGCACGGGCTCTGTAAGAACAACAAATTGCCCTCCGAATTCATTCGTCTTATTTCCTGTGACGGATTCCTAACGACTTTCGTTGTTTTTTCATCTCCTCCATGGATATTCACCGCGACCCTCTCAACGCCTCAAAATGATGAATTTAAATTGCGGCTTTCTGATGGAATGCCAAAAATACAGTCAAAGTGTCACACCTCACACCTATACATCATACCGCCTGAAGAAAGGCGTTGCGCAACCGCATATGAAAGGATAAATTGCAGCGGTTCAACTGGATTGGAAACTGTAACAACCGGTCTGTCCATTTATGCCGTTTTTCTTTTTTAAGTGTCTGTTACTTTTTATTCCCCCGGCATTCGCACTCGCAGGATTCTTATACAGCCACCGATTGGCAAATACTCTCGAACTTTTATGCGCTTTCATGATATCACATTTTTCAATATTACATCAGAAAAATTGTTACCCCTGCGTTACGCACGTGGGGTGCGTTCCACGGCTTATTCAATCATTTTGGTCACCACTTAAAGATAAACATTACCTGTGGAATTTTTGCTTCATGCTTTCTCTCTTTTTTAAGTTTTATTTTCGATAAAAAAAATACTCGGAAATTCTTTTGCAACTACGCGAGTAACGAAGGGTTGATGGTGTTACCAATCGCTAATTCTTCCAGTTGCATTCTAAATGCCACTGGGGAAGACGAAGAATGCATCGTGTTTGCATTCTTCTTCCTAAAACGTCTCTGAAATTCGCGTTTCCCAATTGTCGCCGGTCTTTTTTTTCTGATGTCAATGTTCTTTTTCCCTTCGACTCATTTTTGTCTTGATGAACACCAATCAATCTAAATAAAATGGGCCTTTCAATATTTAATGCGTTTCTTCTTCTTCAATTTTTTTTATCGATGAAGAAAACTACTCGGGAAATTCTTTTACGACTACGCGAGTAACGAAGGGTTCCGATGCATTCTAAATGCAATTGGGGAAGACGAAGAATGCATCGTGTTTGCATTCTTCGTCCCAAAACGACTCCTCTGAAATTCGCGTTTCCCAATTGTCGCCGCTCTTTTTTTTATTCTGATGTCAATGTTTTTTTCCGTCTCACTTTCGTTTTAATGAACATTAATCAATATAAATAAAACGAGCCCCTCAATATTTAAATATTTTAAAATTGAAATTTATCAAATTAAATTTTTTGTTTATTCAATTTATTAAATTTATTCAAATTAATATTTTCAATATTTTTATCTGGTTTTCCCCTTTTGCTAGTGTTATTTTCGATTCTAAAAATTAATCAGAAAAGTCTTCAACAACTACGTGAATAACGAAGGGTTGATATTATTACAAATCGATAATTCTTTCAATTGCATTCTTAATCGCTATGTTTTAATTAACACTAATCATTCTAAATTAATGAGCCTTTCGATATTTAATAGGTGCAATATAATTGAGAAACGATTTTATAACGATCTGTAGCGAAATTTTGAATGAGAATAAGTGCAAACAATTATCCAGGAGAGTTCAAGAGAACTATTGATTCGAGGAAATAATAAATTTACGAGGGAAATACATTTATACTAGTTTATCACTTCGCTACAAATATAGCAGTCGAACAGACTCTCAGCAGGAAGTAAACTCAGGATTTACTGCCTCTGGGGAAAGCAATCAATGCAAAGTTCGTTCCAAGAGTTCGACATATCTGATAGAAATGCTTGTAAACAACTCTAATAATTTCATTTATGCACTCATAATTAATAATTCCATTAATAAAATTTCATTCATAAAAAATAATTTCATTTTAAAATTGCAACTTTTGAAATCGTAAAAAAATATTTCGTGGGTATTTGTGCTTACCTGGCAATTACAATACGTCGGGGTAGAAATGAAAAACTAAATTCACGAGGAGATCGAAAACAGATATTCCTATGAGCACGCGAGATTTTTCTGGCCGCGGCGCAACGACTGTCTCTTATATAGCGCCTGTGGGTACCGCACGGAAAGTTTCCTCCACCAGTTTTCGAAGTCTATCATTCTCACTTTCAGCTGGAGAGCTCAGGAGGATAATGCCGATAGGAAAAGTTAAGCTATTTGACAATCTGGTTCAATAAACCGGCTCTATCGTGTGGAGTTGTTGAACCAAAATTTCGAACTTTTGGTAACTTTCTTCCTGTTTAGACTACACTTGCGGAGGGATCCGATAGAAAAGCTAGTTCATCCGCTAGAAAATTCTCTTGGATTTCTGCGGGAATTTCCATTGTTCTTCGCGCGTTTTAATTTTTCTGGACAATGAGATTAATTCCCCGGCTCAATTTATTTTGCTTCGGTAGTGAAGAACACGCGGAAAAACTATGCCGAGAATTTTAAAAAATATCGTAAAAATATCGTAAAAATATAGAAATTCTTAGTAACGGTTGATTTATATGAGATTCCCATGCATGCCGTTACTGAAAAATTAGTTATTTTCTGGAATATTCAATGAAACTTTTCTCCTCAAGGACATGATGACGAAAATTATAAAAATTCAGGCAATTATTATTCTGCATTTCTAATCTATTTAAATTTAATTAAAAGTGATGTTTAATTTTCAGTGGGTTTGAGAATTGAAGCAGTCATCGAAATATCAATGACTAGGATGGAAAATGCAATTTTGTTGAATTTCCAAGATGAATAGGAAACTCCATGAACGATCTTATATTGAATACAAATTCAATAACTGATAGAAAAAATTAAACTTTCATGAACAATTGACTGGTAATTCTCAGGAATGTGACATTGAATTCGATTTTATGAAGAACAATTATTCAGTTTCACATTTCACTGAAAATTCAATGAAATTCCAAATGTTTGAGCAACAGAAAAACGAAAATTTTCCAATTTGCGTGAATTTTCTGACGAAAAATGAATTTCCAATCAAGAATACATTTCCCTTAACTGAAGAATATTTTTTCATCACTTGTGCGTAAAGTGGAATTTTACGCACGCTTCATACTAAATTCCACTTTCCACACATTGCGATGAAAAATCGGGTTCGACAAAATGTTCTTTGACACTTGAGGCGGTAGCACTCGCCTTCGGCGAGCGCTGCACACCTTCCACGGCTCGAAAAACACTTTTACGTACTCGTACCGAAATATACTATATTTTTACTGGCGTGTAAAGTGAAATGTTGCGCACGTTCCGTGCAAAATTCCACTTTCCACACATTACGATGAAAAATAAGGTTCGTCACTTGAGGGAAAAGTGACCAAACATTTTTACGCACTCGTATTAAAATATATTGAATTCATAGAAATACATAGAAAACAGTGGAATTCCCTGAATTCCACGGTTTTCTATGAATTTTCATGGGATAATTGTACTAAAAATCAGTTCCCATTCACTTCTCCATAAAATTTCTAATAACGAAATTCCTGAATATTCCAGTGAAACTATAACGTGATAAAAATTCCCCAGAAGTGTACCGGAACTTTCAGCTAAAACTTGTTAACACTAAAAAAATGCACTCAAATGCACTTATTATTTCGTTGAAAACCCATCGAACAGCGTAAAATACCTCAATAGAGCCCGTCGTACAAGAAAATGAAAGTCCAAAGAATTTTCTATTTAAATTCCTCGTACATGTCACCCCCTAAAATCTGCAAAATAGTCACGGAATCAATCACTCGAAATAAATAGTCTCCATAACGCGCATCTGTGGACTTGATAATTCATTGTCGAATCTCAATCTCTACCGCCCATGTGAAACAGTGCATTGAGTAGCACGATCCAGCCGTCTCAAGAAAGTTTGATCCGATTTCATAAATTTTGTCAAATTAGCGTTAATTAGTGCGTTAAATTCGATTCCGAAGAATAAACATCGAGAAGCCTCAGCAGGAATTCATCTTTCCCGCAAATTCCGCGATCAATACGAGAGAATTGATATGTGAATTGGCTTCACGTGGCTTTCCGCCTGAACGGTATCAGAGAATGAGTGATTACCTATATCGTGCGTATAACGAGCGGCCGCAAATACAACAAATGAGAAAGTCCCGAGGTGAACCGTTCACGACCTAATCATCCAATAAATAAAATGTATTTTCTCCGCGGATGATATGAATATTATAAATTCTCGAAATAGGTGATCGGCAATCAAATCGGATGATTCGACCATTCAAATGGGAATTCGAGTGGTGACTTTTATGAGCTCATGCTGCCTCAATGTTACTTGATTCATTAGAGAAAACAGTCAGTTTATTAATTACATGTAAAATTTCTTCGGCCAATTGATTGTACGAGGGAGACATGAAAATTCAATTGTGTATGTACTGTTATTAGACGCGTCGGCAATACTTTCACCTTGGAATCTATCGAAATGATATTCCATTTTCAGTAACAAGTGAAAGGTTTACATGAAATCAACCTCTGGAGCATCGCGCCGTCCTTTTCCTTCTATTGTCACGGTCAAGACGCATTAGTGTATTTAGTTTAATGCCGAGGTACACCTCGTTCGCCTCCCCAATTACAGTGTCAAGATGACTATGATTATGCGAAGTTTCCGTAGAGTCATGATCAGTTATACTGGTGGAAAAATTGTAAACAAGTTTTGCTTTTATCGAAAAAATCGCGCGTTGATGATTATCACGTCTCAGACATTCTATAAGCTTTGAAGAGTGAAGAATATTTATTTGATGTTATTTCCTGCAAGCGAGAAATCCTATTTACGCGTGTGGGGAAAAATTTCATAGAAAAACCTAGCGAATTCGCTACAAAATTCTACTGGATTTTTATTGAACTTTCTATTAGGTTTTGGTCGATTCTATTGAATTTTTCAATAGAAAATATTCTATAGAAAAATCAATAGAATTTAATTTTTCTATACAACTTGTTCTATTGAGATATTTTCTATGAAACCTCTGCGGCTCAAATTTTCCAAGTTTTCTGTTTGATTTTCTTGATGATAAGAAAAACAGAATAAAAAACAATAACTCCCCTATCGGGAAGTTGAAAATTTTTAATTAAACTAAAAAATTATTGATGACAGAAAAAATAATTTGTTGATTGAAACAACTGTTGCTTGTTGAAATTTCGACGTCAACTTCATCATTTTGGCATGACATGTGGAAAAGTAATTGAAGGAAGAATAATTAAGCACTGAAAAATTGTGACATTTATTTTAATCTTTATTATATAATATAATATATATATCTATATATATAAGTGTATACTCAACACTTTTCCATCGAAGAAAATTCGTAATCATTTTTTGTATTAGATTTCCATCCGTTTTCACCATTTCCCTGCGAACGAACGAGTGAAAAAGACATTTCCACCGTTTACCATGAGTGAAACCCGATTCCATGCCGATTTCTTCCAAAGTTGAGGAGACTCGACTGTTTTCGCATTGAAATCGGCAATTTCCCTTCATTCTTTCGTTCCGCAAGGTGTCATTGCAAAGAATACAGATATTGAATTCGTTTCCTCCATACATGCGACATAAGAACTAGAAAATTATTGATCTCAATTAGTTCGAAAAGCAAGAAACAAAATACAGGAACAGAAGTAATGGGTTTCCCTTGCACCAGTGAATATATTCATGTGTCGAATCACTGCTGCAATTTCAACCGAAAATAAAATATATCAGAAATTCAATATCCATTAGGAAAGGTTATTACACGAGCACTCATTCTCTCCAAGCAATCGTATTCTGTCTTTTCCATGTTTTACTTTTAGTTTCGCACTCATGCTCAATCGCCCTTTCATTGATTCCACTAATATTACCTTATTTATTTTATCGGTACGAATAGTTTAAACCTTAATTACTGGATACTTCACAGATTTACAATTTATGTATTCATTGTCATTTTTTCATCTAAACTTTTATCTCGCCTCTCCACTTGGGTCTCCAGTTCGATTGAAAAATTACTAATCCTTCATGATTTTCCTCCACGTTTACCAGACATTTTTCCTGCAGTTTCGTACAGAAAAAGAGAGTTCAAAAGCAGACAGTCTCAGGCAATCGTATTTCTTCACTCGATGCATTCACACTCTATGTACAATATTCCACGCCTTCAATCAGACCCTAGGCTCCACTGTTTTCGGGAAATTCCGGCCGACTCCGCGTATCCAAAAGATTTTGAGAAAAACTTACTGCAATATGAATTACAATTACACAAATATCGATAAACTTTCATTTTTTTTTCTTTTACTCTTTTTAGCTGTTGTTTATCCATTTTAGAAAAAAGAGTACAAAATGTGGAAAGTACATACTCAATGGTCTCGGAGTGAACTGCACTCCAGATTATCAGCGAAAAAAATAGATTGAATTTGGATTTTTTTCTCTGAGTGTCGCGGTGAGAAGCTGCTGGCACGATACGCATATTATAAATTTTACAATATTCCTTTGACTCTTGCATTGCGAACGATAATATCAGAAGTATAATTCACCCTTCTGGCATTAGATTACATTATTTCGTGGCAGAAAGGGAAAAAATGAAAGCATTGCAGTGGAATTTAGAGATTAGGCGCGTCTGTCGAGTCGAATCTTATTGCATGAAATTTCAAACGACATTTCCATCGAAATTTCCGGAAATCTCGTCATTGAAAAATAAAAATTTGATGGGAAAACCGAAGGAACTAAATTTTAGCTCAATTATTCAGTGAACTTTATCAGAAAAATTAAAAAATTCAAATAAACAATTCTCGAATGAATGAAAATTGAATGAAAATTCAGCTAAAATTAATTCAATATTCATGTTTGATTAAAAATTCAATTAAGTTGTGGCATTTCTGGATATTTCTGCTGGAAAATATGTGCATTCGTTTGAATTTTCAGCTGCAATTTTTTTTAAAGTTCAGTTACAATTTTTTTCACTTGTAGTCTCATTATTATGAAAAGAAGAATCTCAAAGGCGTTCACCCTTACGTTCCCCTATTTTTCGCTTCATCTCCTCTTCATTCCACTTCTTCATCTCCAATATCTCAGTGAAAATGAACTAAAACATTTCAAAAAAAGAAAATTCTGCTTAAATTGATACTAAATATTCATGTTTAATTGAAAACTCAAGTTACTCATGAAACTTCCGGCCTTTTCTACTGGAAATTATGTGAATTCATTCAATTTTTCAACTACAATTTTAAAAAAAGTTCAGTTACAATATTTTTCAACATAGTCTCATTACAGAAAAAATTAAAAAACGTTCACCCTTACGTTCCCCTATTTTTCGTTTCTCCTCTTGATAAGTTCTTCATCTTCAATATCTCAGGATGGAAATGAATACGTCACTAGTTTATAAACATGTATATATGCTTTTATTACTGCCAAAGGATTCGTAAATGAGAAATCATAAAAAACAGCACGACTTTTAATGCTTTTAGAAAAATTGTTTTTATCTATATGCTAGGCACTTTGATTTCACATAACAGAGTACATATCCCGATCTACAGCTTAGTTTACGGTCATTTCTATCCCATATCAAGTGACCGGCTACGATTATCCTAAGTATCGACTACCTCTTATTTCCTAGATGATTAGTGAGGCAAATGTACGTGTGATGTGGTGCACATACTGAATGACAAAAATAACAGACAAATGATACATGAAAAAGGTGGGGCCAAACAGCTTTGATTGTTAAATCTCGTCATTATCCTGCCTTACCTACCCTTACTCTCACGTGTATTGTTTCATATATTCGAATAATTTGCTCTCAAAATTGTTTGTGCTCGTCAACTCATGAGAAATTCTGTGGGTCTGTTGAATGACTTATTGGAAGAATGTGAAGTCATTGATCATCCGCTCATTTCGATATTAACAATTCATTTATTATGCTCATCCATAAAAAATCATCAGTATTATTATTCTCATTATTATTATCATTACTCTCATTTTTATTTTTACTAAGTACGATCAGAATCGTTATCGCAATTAAAACAATGGAATATAAAAACTTAACTCGAAGCAATTTAAAAATAAGTCGCGATTATTTTCGTGTTATCTGTGATTATCTCGAAAACACGAGTCTATCCGTCATTCTAATTTATTTGAATTCGTTGAGTCTATTTCAATCTCTGCATGTATGAAAAAATTTAATGGGAGAACCGCTTCGTCTGAGAAATTCTATTGGAGTTCTATTAGAATTTTGTTTATTTTTTGTGCTAATTTCGTCAGAAATTAATGAAAAATTATCGTGCGTTTATCAATCGATAATTTATTACAGAAAAAATTCTGGAGATGTTGATTTTTCTATGTAGCTCGTGCTGTCCGAATTTTTGGAACAAAAAATTATTCCACATCAATTGTCCAAGTTTTTCTCTTCATTTTTATCATGAGAAACGAATAAAAATTCAGCGAAAAATACGTGAAAAATTTGTGCCCCAGTATTTCTATAGAAAAATCTGTTGAGTTTTTTCTATCAAACATTTCCGAAAAAATGACACGGTAAAGTTGCATACTCTTCAATAAAATTAGCACAAAAAACAATCAAAATATTTAAGTAATAGAATTTCCCAAAGAAAGCACTAGGCCTTTTTAATCAAATTCATTCACACATGTATGTCATTTTAAAAGAAAAGTAATATGAATACGTGCTGCTTTTCGGGATGCAAGTGGATTTGTATTTCCCTCGAATGGCAGTAACAAAAGTAGATCATTCTGTCAGAAGAAACAGCACCAATGTCTAGCTGAAACCACATGCCATAAAAATCCAGCTAAAATTAAAATACATAACTAGCAAAGTCATACCAAATGATAACTCTAGCTCTTTCCTCATCGGTCCATCGGCACTCATTCCCCTTCGAAAAAATGGTGTTCTTTATCTGAGTACGTAAAGGGAGATAGTGGAACAAGCCAACATCACCTGGACATTCCCAAGATAATCGAGATATGTATTGAAGATACTCCGTGGAAAGTAATAAAATGCTCCAAACATCGGTCCACTTCCTTATGTCTTGTAATTTATTAATATCGTTTCATTAGTTATACTTTGAAGTATATTCCCTTTTTTCTGAATAATTATTGCCATTTATACATGAATACTCGTATCAAAGAAAGTGACAATGGACAAAACAATGCGGCATTTGCGCCATTTTCAAAATTCGAACACTTGGTGTACCTCAAAATAACTCTCTTTTCCTTTCTTTCTGATAAAAACAGTGCGTTTCAAAGAGACAGATACATATGTAGATATAATCTGATTTTTCACAGTGGAGGTCACATTCCGAGATTTGTAGCAAATGGTAATATTTTAAATTCCCACACACACACACACCTCATTTCTCGTACCAACTGACCAATGAACATGGTTTTGTTTATTTTATAATAGTAAGAATAGTAATAATGATAATGATAATAATAATAAAAACTAAAGATCGACAAGACGTGCGCATCAGCCAGAATAAAAGAGTCGAACGGAAAAGAGGGAGGTAAATTGATGAAATATTCTTTTTTGGGCATTCAGGTGGTAACCTGGAGCAATGATTGTGATGCTGATTCACGAAAAATGATCACCCGTTGGCTCTGGTTTCACTTTCTTCAATGGTGAGTTTGATTGGGAGCGAACATCTGTTACTGGTCTCTTAACTTGTGGATTACTTTTCACTACTGTTGTTGGATCTGAAAGTAATAACCCATGATTAATATCATGTGAATAATTCCAAATATATTATTGGGGTTGCACGATATTTTTTTCCATGGATATGAAAATTGAATGAACAATTCAATTCCAAAAATTACCCCCAAACTGTTCGTAAAATTTCAATTTCTCTTGAACATTCTGCATGAAAATAAAATTCTCACAGGACTCTCATAGAAATCCAATGAGATTAAAAAAAAATCAATTAGTCTGTCAAATAATTTAAAACATAAAAAAATATGTATTCAACAATTTTCATTAAATTTTCGTGCTTCATAATTCACCATAAGAAACTTTGTTAAAATAACGAATAAATGTAAAGCGATAATCACCTTGCAGCCACCTGACTTGAGTAGCTGGTCCATATCCTTTATCATTTCTCGCAGCTATTCTGAATATAATAGCAGGCTTCGTCGTGACATCCATGTGTGCAGCACTCAGCGAACTGTTTGGAACGGAACACGAGTTGGTGGCACCACAGTAGACACGAATAAAGGCCAATTGCGTTGGTGTTGTTGCTACAGTGGTTGCTTCACTGGCATTACTAGAGACAGCACTGGCACTTCTAACCGCAAGATAAACCGAGTACTCGAGAATTGGACCAAGATTGCTGGGTGGTGGTTCCCACGTCAATTGAGCACCTTCCGCTGATTTTGAAATTTTTATCGCACTTGGTGCCCCAGGAAAGCCCGGCAAACAAGTCTTGAATGCTGACACCTCACTCCAAGGACTGCGACCACAACTATTGACCGCAGCAACTCGAAACTTGTAAGCAGTCCCCGACTCCAGAGTTATTTTACTCCTTCCCTTGAATATATCTGGCAGGGGTTGGAGCAGCTCGAGAGAATTTGTATCACCAGCGAGATAATAATGCTGCACTGTAAACGTCGTTGCTTTAGTCACAGCTACATCGTACCAATCACTGTCCAATTTCTTCTCCTCCTCATTAACTTTTGCTTTAACCGGCTGCTCAGCAGATCCCAGAGCTGCTGAGGCAAGTGTAGACAGTGCAGTGGAGTCATCGCTCTCCCTCGTTTCCTTCTGCGTCTCATTTTTACTCTCTCCACTCTCCACTTTCTCCGCCTTTATCTCAAACTTTATCGCCTTATTAACATCGACTTTCTCAGCATCTAATTGCGAGTCCATCGGCTCATTAGTTGCATTCCCCTGCTCGTCAGCTGATATGCCAGATACTCGCTCACCATCCATCGCCTCCACCGAGGGTTCCACTTTTATCGGTTTCTCCACAGCTGCTGGAGTCGGCTCTGATGTTATCGAGTCCTCAACCCCCATCTTCATCAGTGACTCATCAGCACTAGGCTCTTGCTCCTTGATGTCCTCCGTGAGCTTGTCCAGCTCCATCTGATGCTCCGAACTTTCATTCTCCTCTTTGTTCAATTCCTTTTCCTCAACCTTGAGCGCTTCGTCAATTTCCTGCAGGGTTTCTGGATTCCCTGGGGTATCAGAGTTATTAGGCTCCACTTCTGTTTTTAATTTGTCATCAAAACTTTCTTCCTTCATTGCAGAGTCAATTGCCTCGGCTTCTGGAGGCTCAGATTTCACTGGATCCTCAGGAGCATCGGTATCAGCAGTGATGGACATATCAGTCTCAGCAGGGAGATTCGGTTCAGCCTCCTCACTCGGCACTTCATCAGGAGCATTCGTCTCTTTTTCTACTTCTTCCATCTTCATCGACGGTTTTTCATCATTGACTGTTTGTTCCCCTTCCTCCTGCCCTCCCTCAGTCCCTTCGACCTTCTTCTCGGCAGCTTCCTCGACCTGAGGAGCCTCGTCAGTTATGGCAGAATCAATAACATCAGATATATCTTGATTCTCTTCGGTCCTCAGTTCACTCGTAACAGCAGATGGCTGAAGACCATCAGTTTCACTCTCTGGCAGCTCCTCATCATCAGAAAGCACGTCCCCTGGGCCATCAACTTGTGGTATAATAAAATTCCCATCATTATCGACTTGCATGGCCTCGCCAGCAGCCAATTGTGACACAATATTCGTGGTATTCTGTTCATTCCCATTGCAACTGTCCTCAGTTTTGACTTCAGCATCAGCATCGTCAGCCACCATGAAATTGAGTTCAGGTGATTCCTGAACAGGATCCATGAGTCCTGCTTCAGCAGCTAGAGCAGCCAGTGCAGCATCTGTCGTGGCTGGTCCATCAGACGTCGATGTTAGAGAGGCTGAGGGCTGCTTCTGCGGCACGAAGAGCATTTTACTGGTGTCAATAGAGTCTGATCCTGACGTACTAGTCATTGTGACGATTGAACTGCTCGTTGGCATCAGAGTCACAGTCTTTCCAAGTCCCCCAGCCATCTGGAGGGTCAGTGGCTTGCCATCCTGGGCCTTTTGCATCTGTGGCACAGTGACAATTTGACTCTTAGAGGGGTTGAAGAGGGCCTGTTGGCTCCCCTTCGTCGCTATTGTCACGGTTTTCGGGATTCCACCATGGCCTGGCACTGTTATTGTTATTGGCTTTCCACTCACACCACCTCCCATGGCCCCTGATGACACAACAATCATCTTGACTCCCTGCTGATTGGTGACGTGATTAGCTGCTGACATTGGAAGAACATTCACTGACGTTGTTATTGGTCCTCCCTGTCCTGCTTGGGACGTCGTGACAGCTTGAACTGCCCTCAATCCAGACCCAGTTGTCACCACAATAATCTGATTCGTCCTGCCAACTAGACCCCCATTACCACCAGGTTTCGTTATCATGATCGTTTGCTTTCCAGCGATTCCCTGTCCCTTGCTCATCGTCACTAAATTCGACGTCTTCATTGTCGTCAGTATTTTCGATCCAGCTACGGTATTCGGGTTGACGAGTCGAAGAATTGTCGGCCCCTGGTTCAGGGGCTTTCCACCAGCTGCTTGAACTGTTTTTCCTGGTATTAAACTAACTTTCGGCACAGCCATCATACCCTGGCCTGTTTTCAGTACATGGACTATCTGTGGCTGGCCACTTATGTTCTGGCCAGGCTTCTGGAGGATTATCTGTTTACTCTGTTGGGGGGATGATGCTCGGAGGACAGTGGCACCTGGGGTTGCGAAACGTATCTGCTGGCCTGGTTGGACAGCCTTCATCCGGACGGTGTTTGTGGTTGGCTGGGGGACAACGGTACCACTTGGCACATTGTTCATAGTGATTTTTGGAGTTGCTGCTGCTGCCGCTGCCAGGGCTGCTATACCAGACATGGCTGTTGATTGACCTGTTTTAGAATAGGAACAAATTTGTTATTAGGTTGAAAAAATAATTTCAGGGTAAATTTTATGGTATTTTCATTTTTTAGGTTTTTGCATATTAGCCAGTTTTCAACGAATAACTCGAAAACTAGGGGAGATAGCAAAATTTTTGTTATGACCTTTTTTGTAGCGCTGAATTCGCTCAATAAAAAAGGTCATTATGAAAATTTCGTTATCTCCTTTAGATTCGGAGATATTGCTCGAAAACTCAAGGGATAAATTTCGGTACTGAAAAATTTCCTAATGATTTTAAATGGTTAATTTATTCTAAATGGTTTTATCGTTGTTTTATGCTTAAATAAAAGCCTGGATATCAAACTAAAGACAAAAAGGGTATTAATAGAATAGAAATAAATTCAAGGCTTGACTAATTTGACGAGCTCGACGACTTCGAAAAAACTCTTGATTAACCTGTTTTGTTGGCAGGCAGGGGTTGAGTGCCTGCTGACAGCTGTTCTGTCGCTGAGGCGACTGATGTGGTTGAAGTGATCAGTGGGGAGCGTATCCTGATGACATTTCCAGTGGCACTTCGTGGGGCCATTGGACTCGGGGGCTTCACCACTGTTGATATTGCTCTTTGGCCCGGATTTTGGACTGGCGTTATGCGCATTGGACTTTGGGGAACAGTTGGACGCACAACTGCTGAGGTGACAGTTATTGGGGGAATGCTCATTCCCACTGGGGTGGAAACAGCTATCGCTGGAGGTGCGATTGGAGCTGCTGGTTGGACTACTGGGACTGGTGCTGGGGGCAGTTGTTTTATCAGAGTTGTTGGGGTTGTCAATGGTACTGCTGGCATCGGTGGGGTCGGGACTGCTGGCGATGGTATGGAGTTTGGTGCTGCCACTGCTGGGAATGATCCTGTCGCTGGTGGCATGTCGTACTTCTGGATCTGGAGGATGTAGTACTGGGCTGATGGGGTTGAGGTCCAACTGACTTCCAGGGAATTCGTCGAGGCGCGCACCAACTGGACTCTCGAGGGCGCTGGGGGCTTGCTCACTTCCAGGTACCAGAGGTCCTTGCAGCAGACCTGGGGGGAACAGTCAGGGGATTAAGTTGGTTAGGGAAGGGGAGGGACTGGTGACCTCGAAAAATAAACTAACCCTAACCTGGTTGTTCCATGCTTTACGATAACCATCACGGCCAGACCACACGTATAGTCTACTGTGAATGCCTACTGCACAGTGCCCAGCACGTGCTCGAGGTACATTCTCCTCCAGCGAATCTACTTGAAGTTGTTCCCATGTCAATGTTTCTGAAATTGTTGAATTTCAATTACAATTTGCTATTTTTATGGTTTTGATGATATCTTGCAAATTTGTTCGTTAATAATTTACGTACAAAATATGTTGTTTTTAAAAAACATTTTTTGTTCATTATTTAAACCCGCAGAAACCTATATTTTCTTGAATGAAATTGATTTCTGATGAAATTTTGGATATAAACAAATTTGTTATGATCGAAAAAAATCATTTTAGAGCAAAAAATGTATTTATAAATTATTTACGAGACAAACATATGTAAAATGATAGAAGGATTTTAACAACAAAAATTTTTTAAGCATTTGGAGATCCTTGAGAATAACTCCAGGATAAAAAAATTATAATATTGAATATAATTTACCCAAATTTAAACAAGCAAGTGTGCTTGTACACTTCCACTCCTTCTCATGCGTTGCAACTTTGACATCATCAACGACAAGAGGTACCCATCCACCAAAAACATACATTCGATGATTGATGAGGGTAGCTGTGTGGAGAGAACGCGGTAGAGGAGTTGGTCCGTGTATCACCGGTTTATTCCACGTCATAGAGTCGACGTCCAAAAACCACAAATCCCCGAGACGACATCCACTCATACCCCCGTAAATAACGAGACATGATTTTCCAGTAGTGCGATCAGTATAAGCGACACCTGTGTGGGACTCCCGAGGAGGTGGAGCAGGTCCGTGTGTCTGCGGCACTTCCCAACTGGTCTGTCCATTGGGGAGAAGCTCCAGAGTGTAAAGATCGTTCAAATATCGTGGGATATTGTTCTTGGGATCGTCACTGTCATTGGCCAAGCCTCCGAAGAGGAAGACTTTGTTTCCAATCAGTGTGAAACTGTGTCCTAGCCTTGGGCAGGGGGGCTGGCCGTTCTTCGGTGGCTTTGGCTTGAGCCTTTTCCACTCCCACCTACTGGCCTGGAGCTCGTACAATTCATTCGAGTACTTTCCGTACTCTACCATTCCACCGAATACGAGGATTCGCGTTCCGTCTACCACGAAACCGTAGGCGGCACATCCTGGGGGAATGTCGCCTTTTGTCGAGGGCACAAACCATTGGTTGGTTGCTGGAAATTATAACGATGGAAAATAATAAATCGAGAATTAACTCTACCTGCTTGAAAAACTGAACTCTTGGGAAAGCTTCTTTCAGTAATTGTTTTTCACTGATTTCAGAGTTGATCGAAAGGGAATTGTCAGTGTAAGGTCATCAGTGCTCCAAAATTACGGGATATTTTCCGAGATTCCGCGAATAGTAAAGAACATGTCGAATTTTTCTGCAGAATTTAGGACTTTTAGTAGACTGAGAATCTTGAGGGGAATATTTTATCCAGTCTGGAGCATTTTTCAAAATTAGGATTTCGGTCATCGGACTACAGTATTTTTAATGAAAATTAACTTTTTTGTTCGCTTAGGTACGATTTATTCGTAAACATTGAAAAAGTGTTCAAGACCTACGTGAGTGTTTTTTAAATATTTTATAACGACGGTATTTTTCGCATTATCAGTGTCATTTTGGGTTTAAAATGTGACGAATCCGAAGAATATTTCTACAGCACACGTGACTCTAATACAAGTCTCAATCAAGCATTTTAATTTAAAAATTTATGAGAAATATTTATTTAATCCCCCGACCTAGAAATTCTTCTAAAAAATAATGCGAAATTCTCATAAATGTTACTATCAACGATAATATTCATTTGAGCCGTAAAAAATGATAAATTATAGGTGGATTCGCTGGAAGTGCTAAAAACTCCTTGGGGATTAACACGAATAAAAAGTGCCCGAAAATTAAGTGATTCTAAAATTAAAAAACCTAGAAGAATATGTAAAATATATAACGATATTTGATTGGCCTTCTTCATGAAGAAGACCAATGTGCTTCGGCATAAAAAAATATTAATAACTTTCAAAAAATTTATTTGAAAAATAAATGCGGCACCCCCATTCAATAACAAAATCAACAATATTAATATTAAAAATTAGGATTTTTTTAAAAATATTCTTACAGATTCATAAATGAAATAAAAGGCTTGTAGGTTTTTTGATTCTAGAATCACTTAATTTTCGGGCACTTTTTATTCGTGTTAATCCCCAAGGAGTTGTTAGTACTTCCAGCGAATTCACGTATAATTTATCATTTTGTACGGTTCAAATGAATATTATCGTTACCCCTTGCCGCCCTAAAAATTCCGCATTAAATTTCAACCCCCCAAAAATTCGCGGGCCGACAAGCCCGAGATCGCGCATGCGAGGACACGGCCATGAAGTCGCCAGCGGCAGGCAGCGACAGCTCCGCAAACCGCGGAATAAGACAGGACCATCACCATCCATGAAAACGTGAAGCATCAATGGCCGCTCCCGCGCATACAAACGTAAAAAACGTCAGAAATCCAAAACCGCCTCCGCCACCCCAAAACAAGCCTCAATTCCCCCCCAAAAGCCCCGCTCAAGCCGCCCAAAAATTCGCAGTAACCCCCAACCCCCCCGGAATCCCCAGCTCCCGGACAAGCCCTGAAAAAAAACCCTCAAATGCTCCGGCCGGTGAGGGTCATGTCACTGCGTGCGGCCATGTTGAATCGCGGGAAACAGCGCGCACTGGGTAGTTGATAGGACGCAACAACAGGGCACCTTAGAATACTCAAACAGATTATGGAATAAGAGTCACCTGTATTGTAAACATGAAGTTCATCGACTATTCCCTCATTACCACCGCCAAAGACAACCATGAGATCCTTGATGGCAACAGCCCGATGTCCATGTCTGGGCCGGGGCTGAGGTCCAGTTGGATTTGTGATTCGTTTCCACTTTAACATGGGTGCCGCCATGATGACCGTCGATCACATCATTTTTTCATGCCCACCGTATTACCCTACGAGCAGATTGCCCCAAACTATCGCTATATTGTCCCCTCAATCTACGAAAATTGTGTATCTCCTCTCATAAATATATCTCGCCTCTGTTATTATTTGTCAAAATCCACACTAACCCTATATGCACCTATCTATTTATACGAGTGTGTATATATGTATGTCCCAATCTATCTATCTCATATGTATATATTTACGGCTACGTCATAATCTGATGGACCCACGAATCTAGCTCTCCACAATTCAATGGCTGGACAATAAACACTCGTTACGAGATCACGGTCGAAAAACCTTCACCAAGTATTGTCACTTTGTACACACGAACTTGAAGTATACCATCTAGATAGTCACCCTTTGTAAGTTGGACTAACCTCCCGGCGTTTCGAGCTAGCTGGTGATATTTGCAATCGGGCTTCCTGTTACTCGGTTGAAAATAAATTTTTTAAAATTGCCATTCGCCGCACTATCGAACCACCAGGATATCCACACTTTACAGTAACACCACTTTTCGCGTAAACTTTTGTTTCAATCGCCTGGGGTATTATTTTTTAGAGCGTGAAAAGTCCGCGCGCGAGTTTCCTACGTTGAACGCAACCATTAAACCATCACGGCGGCTGTCCCCTAACCACAATATTGTTTCCACTTTTTCCGCTACGCGGGTGCTGAGCGATGTAGATTAGCTATAGTATCGTCTGCCCTCTGATGCAATGGAAATGTTGACAATCGTCGGATCGAGGGTTCTTGTTTTTCGTGGCTGCAACTGTGCAGTGCTGGTGGTGGGTTGGCAGGACTGTTTGAGACTCTGTGGTGTTTTATATTTTCTTCCTTTCTTCCTTCAACCTTTGCACGGTCTATTGTCATTGATGGGACGCTGTTGTTGTATTTCACTTATAGGTGGGCTGTCGGGGGAACACCCCACGACCTGTAGTATTATTATTTACTTTTTAATTAATTCACATGGGCTGTCGCACTCTTCGTCTCTTCGGGGGTCGACGAGGAAAACCGACCGAGGGAAAATAAACTCATGTTTGCAGGTTATGGCCGTCGGAATGACACCCGAGTCAACTGTAATTCAGCGGTTTCAGGGGGAAATCGGTCGGTGCTCCTCGGGCAGGTGGTGAACGGTAATTCTTGAATTTTATTGGGACGATTAAAAGAGAATTAAAGTGACACTGAATTCGGGGGGATTGACGAACAGTACGCCGAGTATTGGCGCGCGTCTGTTTGATTACTTTGAAGTTGGCAACGAAACCCTCCCAACCTTACGAACGAATAATGGAGGCTGGCAACAGCACTTGGTTGGAATAATCGGTGGAAAATACGGGGGAGTTATGACGAGTTTCTAGGGGCGCGGCAGCGGGGTGATAAGGATGGAATTCGATGCGATAATAACGTTTGACACAGAGTGATGTAGAATGGAAATTATCACTGCCAACGGTCGGCCGATGTTTAGTGCCGGCCTTCGCCTCTTGGTGAGCTGCGGAACGACGCCTCATGGGAACTGGCATTAGGGGATCTTGTTGGTCGTGATTGGTCGGTAATTAATAATATTGTTTTGAAATTTTGACGACACGAATTTTATCCCTTTGATTTTTCTCGGTGTTGGAAATTCATCGTTAATTGTAGTGCTGAATTAACAGCTCGACTCGATTTCAGGACAAATGATTGGGTTTCGTGGAAAAAATTGTAATGCTAAGCTATTATTAATGCTAGTGGAATTTTAGTGAAATTGGATTGAACTTCTATTAAAGTTCAATTTTTTTCCGAATTTTTTATTGCAAATTGGGTAATTTTTATGTGCGATTTTTCAATAGAAATTAGGTAAAAATAGAACTTTAATAGAAGTTCACAAAAAAATCGCACGCCAAAATTACCTAATTTTCAATAGAACTCGATAGAAAAAAATCCATAGATTTTCATTTTCCTGTACAATTTTTTTTGTCACAATGTTTCCTATGAGAATTCTAGGAAATAAAATATTCTTTAGATTTTTTAAAATGATTAAAAAATAGTGTACTTCAGCACACTGTCCGTAAATAGTATTTTCCGACAGTAGACAGAAATTACTTTTCTGACTGGTATGAAAAGTTTGTGAAGAAAATATAAATTTTGATACGAGTACAGAAAACGGGTTTTTAACATGTGGGGGGTATCATCGACAAGTGCAAATCTAGTATTTTTACTCTAATTTTCGATCTTCGTTATTTCCTTAAATCCAAAATATTGCCATAACAATCAAATTAGGGAAAAAACAAAAATCAACTGAACTCCAGACGAAATAATTCATCTCCATGAAAAAAATCCGAAATGCGAAGTCCCCATAACTCCGAAAATCACCTTTATTCACTCATGACTTAACTTTATTAACTCAATCTCCTCCGGAATGACAAAAAGCACCGAAGATAATAATCTTCGAATCAATTCTTCGAAATGCGATATAAAATAATGACAATATTACAGTAAATTCACAATACTTCCCTCGATCTTCAGCCCCCAAGTAAAAATATAACTCAAACGATTCATCGAAACTGCAGCGGGCTTATCCTCAGTCCAATGCACTCCTTCCCGACCTGAGCCACATCGCACACTCGACAAAGTGAATCTTTGAATTGTGGTTGATAGCTGGCCCCACAGAGCGGGCACTTGACCTCAGGTTTTCCCCGATAAATCGGCGAATAAGTGGCGGCACAAAGTGAGAATGGATTGTGCTCGTCATAAAGCAGCTGGTGTTCATCAACCGGATTCTTATCACAAGCCTGGAGAATCTTCCTGACCTGCTGCGCCACCTCCACTCGAGGGCCCAACTCCAGCAGCCTCCTGGCGAACGACCCAGCTGTTTTATAATTCTTCAACTTGAAGAACATATTCACAGCAGTTCTGAGAGTGAGAATTTGATGAACAGGCTGGAGATTGCAGTGAGTGAAGTAGGCAGCCATTTCGCAGACCCTCTTCTGCTCAGCCAACGTCGTCTTCGGCGCATTCTTCCTCTCAGACTCCATCTTCAGCCCCAGAATGTACTCCCTGCAGACGTGAATGAGCTGCTGGGCCTCAGCGATGTCCTGCCTCGTCTCGACAACCAGCAATGGTACACTGAGAAGAATGGCCTGAAGTTTCTCGATAGCCTCCGTGAATTTTCCCCCCGTCGTCAGCTGATAGCAGACTTGGAGCCTCTGAACGAGCTCAGTTAAATGCAAGCCAACAGCTGGCAGCCCATGCTTCACAGTCGTATCCTTCCAATTCCTCTGTGGATAAGCATAGAGCGAGGGAATGCTCGGAAGCGACGCATAACTCGTCCTGGATCGAGCGAATGTATTCAAGAAGTGCGTCTGGTACAGCTCGAACTCCGTGACCCCCACCTGATCATGGAGAAGCCTGCAAGCGGTTTCGAAGGACCCAGCAACGATATGATCAACTGGCAGCTGCGAGTTATTCACCCAGTGCTGGGTCACAGGGACTCCCTTAGTCGGTGCTGCGAAGTAGCCATCCTCAGCTGAGGCAACAGTCGTCTCCAGCTCCGGGGGGAGATCGACGTCCTCAACTTCCCACCCTGCATTCTCCTCTCCATCTTCCCCAGCCTCTCCCCCTTCTGCAGCCTCCTCATCGTCCATTCCCAACTCCTCGTCATTACCCCAGCCTTCGACAGCTGCTGTGTCGTCCTCTGTATCCAGAGCAGCCAGGGCTGCAGCCACTTGACTCTTCCCCCTGGACATCATCGCCCCCTCGAAGAACCCTTTCGAGACAGTGAGCAGAGGCCAGTTGTTCTCAGCCTGCTGGACAGGCACTGGGGGCCTCAGGTACACCGCCCCACGTTCCAGCTCACTCATCTCTTCAATGAGTTCAGTCTCGAGCTCGTCCTCTTCACTGGAGATTCCGTGGAGTTTTTTCGTTACAGCAGCCAGGGAACTCTGCCCACAGTCCTTCAGGATCTTTGCCCTCTCGTGGATGTCACCGAGGAGGAGGTTCCCCTGGTACTGCCCAGAGAAGTCCTTCCTGATCTCAGCGATTTTCGTCATCTTCCTGAGCTTGTCCAGGTTGCCAGTGATCAAGTAGAGGAATGCCAGCTTCTCGAAGTTCTTAGTGCGTTGGTAGCACATTTCAACGACCTGGTGATTACCCTGGAGCAGGGCTGCCTGGGCCAGGCTCTCCCAGCAGGCCTTTTGGTCCAGGGTCCTGGCAGCTTCCAGGGCTACCTCGATGTTCCCACACTCCAGGGCCAGTCCAAAGCGGGTTTTCTCGTCTTTCACGAAGTGCAAAGCCACTTCGGGGTAGCCTTTCTGCTGGAGGTATGCGATTATTGATTGGCCCACTAGGTTCGCAGTCCTCACCATGTGCAGGACCTCCTCGTACTTTCGGTTGATCAGGGCTAGTTTGAACTTGTACTCGGTGGGGTCGATCCTCAATATTCTCGGTCTGCATTCTCGGTCGAGACAGTACACCTGGTCACCCTTGACTCGAGTCACGTAGATCGGCAGGTCCAGGGTCCTGATTATCCCGTGGTCCCCTGTGGTTATGGCGTACTTTATGTGGTTGCTGGTGGTGTAGATGAAGACTCCGGAGTCGTCCCAAGCGCCGGATTTTACCCTCGTGTTCTCGGATATCGAGCAGAGGGATTGCAGCTTGCGGTTGCAGATGGTCACTGTGTGCTTCGAGAGGAGGGCCACGTGGGACATGTCGTTGGACCAGACTACGTAGCGACACTTGGGGTTTTTCACCTCCGAGAGCTGGCGCTTCTGCTGGACGTCGAAGAGGGTCACTTGGTCGGCGTCACGGAGCAGGAGCATCCCAGTTCCCGCGTAGAATATCTCCTCGCAGTTGGGGACCTGGACTTTTTTCGTTACTTCGTTCTTCAGGTTTTTTATCACCAGCTGGAAGATTAATGGGGTGGGTAACAGTATTTGATAATTGTGAATGTAGAATTGATGCAGATGGGAGGACAAACGACAGAAAAACCTTGGGTTTTGCTGGGGAATTTCATCAATCTTAGTCATTCTTGCTCAATAAATACTTCTGTAACTATTTTCATGGATTAACTTTCTGAATATGTTCGCATTCTGTTAAAACTCTATTGGGATTTCACTAGAATCCCTCACAATTCTCTTTTGATAGAAAAATTTACAGATTTTTATTTTTGTGAAGAAATTTTTTTGAATGGATTTCATCATTTTTGTTTCTCATTATAGAATTAAGGAAAAAAACTTGGAAAAGTCATTCTTAAAAATGTTTACACCAGAGTTAGTTGTGTGAAGCATAAATAGGCTACTGTATAGAATAACAAAAATTCAAATCTATTGACATGAGCAGAATTGCTAATTCCTAACACGAATGACCAAAAAATAAGCATCATTTAGAAATAGTACCCATTTTTTTGTTATTTTCTATTAGGAATTGCGCAATCATTAATTTATTTATACTTCACAAGACTAAACTTCATAAGAGAATTTTATTAGAACAAAAATGAGATTCTAATGAAATCACAATAAATTCCAGAATAAATGTACTTAAAACTGCAATAGAATTCCAGAGGTAAATCCATTAAATTCAGCACGTCAAATCAAAATCAATGTTCTGCCTAATAAATTCACTCACACATTTATAAATCAAAACTCACCGAATATCCTCTATCCAAAACAGCAAATCGATTGCGTGCCACCCAAATGGCCGTGACCCCAGGAGCCCTCTTGGTTTCAGGATCGCTATTAGAGTCCCCATCCTTGGGAATAATATACAGATCATAAGTGCTATTCTCAATATTCGACGCAGATCTCGTAGTAATCAAGACAGCATTCTCAGCTTGATTATAAGACATGCTGTAGGCCGGTGTTTTCCCTCCTCCCCTGATCTGCATGACCGAGGTGTCCTTGGAGGTAGTGAAATCGAGTTTCCTGAGGAATCTCTCCTTGACATAGTACAGGAGATTGCCATGGACAGCATAGGCAGGGCGTTCCCTCTCCAGTTTGAAGATGATCATGCCAGCGTCGTGGCCAGCAGCAAAAAGATTGAGCGTTGGGTGGGCTGCAAGTACCCAGAACCTCTCGTGCTCTCTTCTGAAGGTCTGGAGGCAGCCCCTCTTGGCCATGTCCCAGACCCTGATGCTCTTGTCCTCGGAGTTGGAGAGAATGAGGTCCTGCCGAGGGTGGAAGAGGACGCAGGAGACGTTGTTGTAGTGCCCTCTGCAGGTGTCGACCTCCCAAGCCTTCAGATCGTTCATTCTCCACATTTTAATCTGTCTGTCGTCAGCACCAGAGACGATCAGGGGCAATGTTGGGTTGAAGCAGGCCCAGTTGACCCCCCTGTCGTGCCCCTCGAGCACGTGCTTGACGACTGCATCAGCTTGACCGAATAAATCGGTCGTCCCAGGGTTCTTCAGGTGATCCTCGAGGCCCCCAGGTCCTGGCGCCACGTTCTTCTTCCTCAGCCCTGAAATATCCCAGACTCTGACAGTCTGATCCAGAGAGGCGGACACAATCATGTCCTCGGAGGGGTGGAACTGTGCACACATGACGTAGTGGTTGTGACCAGTCAGGACACAGATGCAGGCACGACTCTGCCAGTTCCAGATTCTTATCGTCTGGTCGTCCGAGGCACTCAGGATCCACGGGTACTCGTGGTGGAAGAACGTCGTTCTTATGTAGTCGAGGTGACCCAGGAGCGTGAAGATGCAACGACGCTGCTTGTAGTTCCAGACTTTTATCTTGTAGTCGTCACCCCCGGAGACGAAGAGCGGCTGCTGGTTGTGGAAACATATCCCTCGGACTGGACCGTCGTGCTCGTCGAATTTCTCCAGGAGCGTGCACATGCGGTAGTCCCACAGTTGGATGACTCCATTGTGCAAACTGTGGGAGATTAATTTGTATTTGGGAAATATGTGAACATCTCGGGGGACTTTTATTGAGAATTCTTTTTTTCGTGTTTTTCAAAACTATAGAGGGTCAATAGAGAATATTTTATAGGAAAAATTAAACAGATTTTGATTTCTTATCATGAAATTCTGTAGAAATTCATCGGCCTCAATTTTTTGTTTGATGTTCAATTCAGCTGTATTCATCGGACTAATTGTTTTTTTTCTTCAATTATTGCTGAATTGGCATATAATGCCACGTGGATTTCAATACGTATGAAGAGTGTCACTTTTTGTTTTCTATTATTATTTCTCAAGAATATTCAGATATCAATTTATTGCTTGAGGTTAAAATAAAATTTATAATACAAAAACATGAAAATTAATGGAGAAAAGTCTGTTGTAAAGGGTTTCCCATAAAAAATATCAATAATGTCATTGAAAATCAATGGATATTGTTTATTGGAGGGCGATTTCACAGGACAATATCATTGCTCCAATTGTTTTTTAAAATTATTGTTGAATACACATGCAAGTGCCATGTGGGTCTCAACAGTTTTCCTACAAAATAATGTTGTTACTTCTTCACTTCTGTCATCACTCCTCTCCATATTTACATGTCAACTAAATTTTATTCATCGCATTAAATTGAATGAAATCAAAAGACTAAACAATGCAAAAGTGAATGAATAAATGTCTTTTGCAAAGAGTTAACGAAAAATACTAGTAACATCATCAAAAATAAATGATGTTATTTATGAAAATATATGACCTCACATGACAATATGATTACCCCTATCTTTCGGTCAATTACCTGGCTAGAATCCACGGCCGTTTGGGGTGGAACGACAGTCCCTTCACTCGTGCGGACTTGGTTTCGAACTTCGTTAACATTTCTGTTGATTGTTATTCCATATACTGTTTTAATTCACTAAAGTCTGTGGCAATTCGGCTGTTTCGGATGAATACTCAGTGGAAGATCATCCCGAGACACGTCACTTGCTTTGGCGTTTCTTAATTCTCATGAAAGGAGACTCAACGAGTCAATGGACAGGCCCAGGTTGTGCTGCCCTCTGACTGTAATATTTGATAAGCTCAGAATATTCATTTGAAATGCATTTACGAGGAACAATTTTCGTTATGAATTTACATGTACGGCGATTAATTAATGAAGATAAAAAGGCAATTTGGTAAATTGCTTTTTGAATAATTAGAAAAATATTTATTTGGGAAAAGCGGTGGTAGTGAAATATATGTGATGTTTAGACTCACATTGTATTCCTATACTTAGGGGTGGGTGGGGTAAAACGGACACTTTAGACTTTTTTTCAATTATTCATAACTCAGAAACAAATTGATCAATTGAACTCAGTTCAGGCTCGTCAAAGGGAAAGAACTGTTCTTTGTATTGGAGAATAATTATTAAATTTTATCAACATTTCAACCCCTCATTAATATTTAAACAAAAGTCAAAAGTGTCATTTTACCCCAACCTCCCCTATGCAAAAAAAATAAAACCTAATACTTTTTAAATGGAATTTCATCGAATTTCTATTCAAAATCTATAAGAATTCTCCTGAAGTTCTATTAAAATTGCATTGAAATTTAATTTAAAAATTCTGTTCATTTTCTTGACAGATAAATAAGTAAATGTTTAACAGAAAAAGTCCATAGATTACCATTTATCTACATGAATTATCCTCATAAGATTTTTTTTCAAGAAAATCTTGATCATAAATTTTTCAAGAGTTTTCTCTACTGTATTTTCTGTTGTTTTTCATTATAAAATCCGAGAAAATAACTTGAAAAATTGATGCCTAAGCATTTCTATGTAGAAAATCCCGCGTGAATAAGTTCGATAGAAACATCAACATCTATTAATTTTTTTTTATTAAATATCTATTGAAAACACATTGGTTTAGTTGAATATTTTACATAATTGAACAATCTTCATTTGTAATCGATGTAAAAAATTACCAGAATTCTTATAAGAATTCTTATAAAATTCTGATTGAATTCCAATAAAATTCTTAACGAGCGCCAATAGAATTCTAAGGGATTTTCCCAATGGATCGTTGGGTTTTCCACATAATTTTTTTATCCGTGTACAAATCTCCTGGATTGTTTTCTTTTATTCAAATTCTTCATACAACGTCATTCCATTAACAAACACTATCAGTGACAGTGTTTACCCCTGAAGAAAACCTCACGTTTTTATCTAGAGATTAAAAAATCCTCAAACCATGACGCGGTGGCCCTCAATTGGCCACAAATTCACGCATGCTCCTCACATTGGCTGGAGTCTCCCAGACTCCACCCCGCCGTGTCAGTTGTCAACATTTTCAAGAATCTAACCTTCCAGGATCTCCGAATTTACACTATTTCTCTGTCAGTTCCGGAGGTGTCAATCCCACACGTGTGTTTAATTTATCAGAATCACAATCTTCAGATCTACTAACCACCTGTACTGCCTAATAAAGCTTGCCACGTGTCTAATAGCATTGTTGACAAACGGTTTGATAATATGCGAGGATTCATCAGTCGGCACTTGTTATACTCACTTTCTTTTTTTATATTTGCTGTCATCAATCCGGTTCCTGCTTCCCTGAATTTTCAAACCGAAGAACAATTGAAAGAGGCGAAACTCCCCTCTTGTGCGGCTTGCAAAATACTCGCTGAGAGCTTCAAGAAGGTAACGATGTTTCCATTATTGAAAATTTTTTTGCAACTATATATATTGAGTATGGAACAATTTAATTGAAATATTTTCATTGAAATTTTTAAATTCTGTTGGAAGTTTGCGAACGCTTTTTAGAATTTGATCAGAAATTCCATTTGTTTTTGCCAATTTTTATTGTTTATTTCCCATTGAAAATTATTTAATGTTACTATGTGATTGTTAATAGACATTTCACAGAAAAAATCAATAAATCATTTTTTATAAAGATTCTCGGGCATTAGTTGCCTGTTTCCCTTGAATTTTTTAGTGAAAAACGAAAGAAAATACAATGAAAATCATTTAGGATTTTTTAAAAACGAATTTCCATTCAAAATTAGATACTATTTACTGTTTTCAATGCAATGTCTGTGAGAAAAATCGTGGAAAAGCTTGAAAATTTTTATTATTAATGAAAATAAGCGAAGAACTGAGAGAATAAAGTAGAATAGAATTTACATTCATCACTGCATTCTATTGAGATTCCTAATGAAATCTTTAATAAAACTTCAATAGAATTCCGTAATAAATCTACAATTTCATGAAACAATATTTGGATTAAACAGGGAATCGAGAAGACAAAAAGAGGAAAATTTGAGGGTGGAGATACAGCTTGGGAAGAAGATAAACTATCATCATACTCAAAAAGTGAAGTACGATTAACAGAAATCCAAGAAAACTTATGCAAAGATGTAAAAAAAGGAGAAACCCAGTGCCACGATCTGGCGATGGAGTTAGAGAATGCAATTGAGGAGTGGTGGTTCAGCCACCAAGATGCCTATCCAGATATTTATTCGTACATTTGTATAGAGCACGCGAAGAGGTGCTGCCCTAAGGATCACTACGGTCCGGAATGCGCCGAATGCCCAGGTTTTCCAGATAAGGTGTGCAGTAATAACGGAAAGTGCAAAGGGGCCGGAACGAGGAAAGGAAATGGCCAGTGTCTCTGTGATAAGAATTACAGGGGAGAGACTTGCTCAGAGTGTGCTCGTGGTTATTATGAATCCTACAGAGATGAGAACAAATTACTCTGCTCTGATTGCCATCCATCGTGTGCCGATGGATGCACGGGAGGAGGCCCTGGCAAGTGTCAGGGAGGCTGCAAAGACGGTTGGCGATTAGTTGAAAAGGAAGGATGCGTGGATATTAATGAATGCTTGGAGAGCAAAAAATATTGTCCCGGCAATCAGTTCTGTGTTAATAAGGATGGCAACTACTCGTGCTTAAGTAAGTGTCTTCCTCCACCATTTTTTGCTGTTGAATATAATTACATGTAATTAAAAGTATAAAAATATAATTAAAAGGATGAAAAAATTGTACAGAAACCATTTGTTTAAGACATGCACATTTGTTTAAAAAATTCTATTGTTACTCTATTATTGGAATTTTGTTGAAATTCTATTCTATTCGATTTACTTTTCGCTGATTTTCATTGAAAATTATTAGATTTTGATTTTTCCACTCATCTCTGTAATGATGAATTGAGTCGAGGGTCATGGGATATTGAAGGAATAAGTGATCACGTTGATGAGGTGCCAGAGAAAGCTAAATTATTAGCGAAACGTTGCATTCTTGACAATCTAATGGAAAGCATTTTTCATTTCTCCTATAGCCGATAGCAATTAAATTATGAAATGTGGCTCTGAGATTCATTCAAGTTATTTGAAAGAGTCTGTTGGAATTTTTTAAAATCGATTCCTATAAAATTAATTCCTATGAAAAAAAATGATGAAATAGGATCTTAAATGGAAGAATAACACATTTTGTTGTAGCTTGTGATAGGGCCTGTAATGGCTGCGCCGGAGATGGGCCAGATATGTGTACAGACTGCGCCGAAGGGCATCATAAACAAGATAACATTTGTATAAGTGAGTGTGAATAATTTGAGAGGGAATAGAACTTACTTTTTGCATCACATTCTTTACAAATGATTTTTTTTGCAGATTCAGATGTTTTGGGACGTAAGAAAACCGAGAATATGGCTCGATATGCTACTTATTTCGGTTTGTGTGCTGCAACGTGTATTATACTCCAGAAGAATGTTTACGCAGCTAGTGCAATTGGGTTGCTCGTTGGACTCTACATATCCGTCTCCGAATACATGATTGCTACCACTGGTGTCCAGAACACATCACCAAATTTCGATATTTTAAGACCGATTGTCTAACGGGAGAACTATGTGTATTGTTCATGTATTTATGTATTTATGAATAAAAAACAATCCTTAAAAAAAAAAACTTTATCCAATGGTGCATATTATTATTTTAGCTATAACCGTCTATTTTCAAAGATTTAATATATTAGATTACCGGGAGGGTTGAAACGCATTTTTTAATTCAACCGGAAAATTCATATAAAATATGAATTAATAGTTTTAGGTGTGAAGATGTAAAGAAAATGGTCATTTCGCCGAACTTTTCGTGCAGATGTGATAATGAAAATTGAACCGAGAAAAATTGTTTGAAGAGCCGATTCTCACAATATAACATCTCTCCGTTCGTTCGGTTAAAATATCTCACCGATGGGGTGATTTTTAGGGGGATTTTTTGAATTTTTTCAAAAGTGGGGGATAAAGGGGGAAGGGACCTAATGCCATAAAGTGGCAAGATGAGTGCAGCCGCCTATTGTTGCTCCGAGTTGCGCATTCACCCTTACTCATGTCTACGCTGCACTCACTTCAATATCTTCCGCATTACTAGCCGAAAAACCAGATGATGTGAATGAATGAGAGAGGGAATAGAGTTTTTCTGAATTACGAAAAATTGGTATTTGTTCGAATGGGAGGTGTGCAGAGAAAAATACGGATATCGCGGAAACTGTGAGCTCCACAATGGGCCCGTGTCATATAAGGGTCACATATACGGAAAAAATGAAGGATTGGGGCCAGCGGTATGAAATGAGATATTTCTTCTTTATCTCGGAGCGATGCTAAAAATTCTTATTTCATTTTTTTTGGAAATAATTTATACAGCGGATAATGAATGCATCCAATGCCCCTATGATTCTGTAGATACTTCAAATACCCCCTTCCCGTCTTTTGCCAATTACTGTTTTTGACGATTTTTCGTCGTTAGATGGCGTGTTAATGCGCCACGAAAAGTTTTCTGCATGCGAATTGTCAGGAAAAAATCTCTATATATGAGTGCATTAACGATTTTAATTCGCAATACTCAGTGTAATATATCCATATTGTTGGAATTTTTGAGCATGTATGTTAATACAACATAATCTTGAGTCAATAAATAATTCAAATTTTCAGCATGAAAGTCGAGTTAAGAATAAATAATTGCATTTCACTATTATAGTGGTACATTCGGCATACATTTCGAAATTTTTATTAGTCTGAATAGATTACACTGAGTATTGTACGTTACGGTTGTTAATTAAGGAATATATTCCGTAGGAATAATGATTACATTCTGCAAAGGCCATAAAAAGCTTGAAATTCTATCCTGTGCATTCTTCTTAGAATTTTGATTATTTGTTTTTATTTAATCGATGCATGAATTTATTGCATATCCACTCTCAATGTAACAGTAATACATTCCTCTGAAAATTTACTTCCACACAATTCGCCGCTTTCACATGCAAATCAACTAATTGAAATACTATCTCCGAGTCATTAGTTATTAATATAAATCGAAATTTTCACTGCAATATCTCCATCTGTCAATTTCTTTATTCTGTTGCCATGGGTTGATCGAGGCGAGCGCAGAATTCAATTTCAATTAGTCTGAAATTGTTCAGTGCTTAGCGCAAATTAGTTTGATTTTTTTGGGAATCATCCACCAACTATGCTACAAGGAGTCAAGGCATAAGTAACGGTTGAAAAATTCCATAAGTCAAGTACATAAATTATTTTCAGGTGGAAATTAATTCGCATTGGAGTAATAGACTAAATTCTGCCTGGAAAGTTCACTTGGTGTCTGGGGGTGGGAGACATGGATGCTAGCGGGGATCAGGTAGAGTGGGGATATGCACCCATGCAAACAAGTAAACTGTACGGTCAGAACGCTGCTTTTAACAATAGATGGCGGAGTGAGAAATCTATTCTCGGTAGCGGAAATAACGCGTAAGGGTCATAAGGAATGTTGACGAGAAAACGATAGTTGCAATACTCAGTGTAAATATCCATATTTACAATTTTTGGGCAAGTGTCTACATGACTCCTTATAATTTTCAATAAATCAAAATTAGAAGTATCTATCAACGGAAAGATGATCATTTCTACACCAGATCTCTTTCTACCTAAAACATTTTTAATAGAGCATTGACAAATCAGCAAGTTGAATTGAATATTTTTAATAGGGCGTTGACGAAATGTGCAAGGGAGTTAAATTTTATCAAAACTGAGCGTTATGTAGTGATTTTTAGTGATCTTTTTCCCTGTTAGTATAGACGGAAAGAAAAAAATCTGTTAAAAATCACTCGTGAACTAAACATTACAATATTTTCGTGCCATTTTTGTTGAAAAGATTGATATTTCTAGTAGGCTTTTGGCAAAAATGTCTGAAAAGCCCAAAAAGACTACACGATTATTAAAATTCAAAAGTTATTTTCAATAGATTTTTCTCTCCCGTTACGCTATGGAAGAGACAAAATTTGTATTGTTAAATCATTCATAGAGAAATATACAACAATTACAATATTACTCCTGGAAAATCCTCTCTGCATGGACCAATGAAAAAAATGGATATCAACGCAATATACCGAGGAAATAACAGGCATAATATTACTATCACAATATGGCCTAATCGGCTATGCATGGATAATAAATAAATAAAGATAAGCACAACATTCGCAATAATCGTTCTCCCCAATAACCGACGAACACTTATTGATTGAGCTTTTAGAATAGATACAGAAAACAATCGAGAAATTCAAAAAATCCAAAAGTCAAGTAGATAAATTACTTTCGGGTAAAAATTAATCTATATCTTAACAATAGACTAAATTTTGACTAAAGAGTTCACTTTGCGATTAGGGGTGGGAGACGTGGATCCAAGCGGAGATCAGGTACAGTAGGGGTATGCATGCATTCAATGAAGTAAACAATTTGGTCAAGATGCTAATGGTGTCGATAGATGGCGGAGTCCGAACATCTATTCTCGATAATGGAAATAGCGTAGAGAAGTAATAAGGTCTAACGAGGAGAAGACAATAATCGCAATACTCAGTGTAAATATCCATATTTATTAATTTTTGGTTGGGATGCGTAATAAACGTCCATCTTAAATAATGTAAATCGAAAGTACCAATATTCAAAAAAATGATCATCTACACGCCAGATCTGTTTTTGCTTAGAATATTTGCAATAGAGAATTGACAAAATGAGCAAGTAAGAAAATTACTGAACGGCTCATTTTTCTATCCTTTCCCCGATTAACTGTTAGATGAAAAACCGAAATACAAGGGAAGTCTCCCCTGCCTCCTTCCCCCTTTTTTACTTTCCCCAAAATTCTTTTCTCACTCGCGGCACCTGGACCTAGACCACGCGCGTGGCGGTTCACCCTTCCAGTCATGCCGTACCCTAACTTTTTTTATCCCCTCGGTGAATTCGTCGCTGACGACTATACATTCACATAGGTGTGTTGAAAAAAAACTCAAGCATTGTTCACGGGTCTACGTACCAAAACCCCTATTTCGAAATGGGTTGGCCCCCTGCTCCAATCATTGGAAGGGTTGATTTAAATAATAATACACGAACTCAGTACCGGCTGCAACTCTCACATCAGTCGTTCGCTAGTGGGTTAGATGGGACAGACTCACAGGCACAGACGCCGATGCCGTCTTGCTACAAATTGTGTTATTACTTTCAGTTTTTCGTTTTGTCTATTCCCCTTCAACTCGCGAAAATTTTTGTAAATACAGTAATTAGAATTTTTCCGGATAAAATTTCTGTAATTCAACTATTTCCTAAATAAATTAATCCATTCATTCTCTTGTATATTTAATACAGAAATCGTACGGAAGCGTGGGATAAATGGACCGGTTTCAATCGTAAAGATTTCCAAATCAAGTGCCACGATTTCCATAAATCAGGTCTCATTTTGTGTCTCAGAAGAAAATCTCAAAAATTAAAAAGAATAACGGAAAATTCCTGCGCGTGTTTTTTGAGTTGTTGACGATTGAAGACGGCCCGATTTACCCCACTCTCACCTGTAATCAACTAAACTAAGGAGTGTTTTTAAAAGTGTAAACCATAATTGCTTGAAATTAAACGTGTTTTAATGCGCCGGATAGTAAAGCGGACAGGAATAATAATGTTATGGTGTTAAAATGAGAGAATAACAAGGATTGTTGGACGCTAATTAGAAGGAGGCGTATGAGGGTGAGTCATTAATTCAATAAAAATCAAGCGAATATCATAAAAAATAGCCAAACGTGTCGCCCAGGCACAAGACAATTGCGCGATAGACAAAACTGAGAAAAAAAATTGAATTTGTTTCAATTAAATTTGTTTGAGACAAATAAATGTCCCGTCATTTTTTTTTGCCAAAAAAATTGATTTTTTTTCAATTAAATTCGTTTGAGACAAATAAATGTCCATAATTTCCATACAAAATTTCAGACTATCGTTTCTCCCTCTCCTCTAAAATAAATTTGATGGGCAGAATTAAATTTTTTTCTCAGCGAATTAGATAAAAAATGAAGTGATTTCACTTCGGGAGCGCCCGCCAATTTGCGGATTGGACCTGGTATAATGATATAGCACGAGATCATCATCCAATATCGCGCTGGATAACATTAAACTAATACTGTGAGAATAATGGTAAAATGGGTGGGGATGAGGTAATAGACCGCGAGCAAGGTGGGGGACGTTCAGATTCAGAGAAGAAATTGAGAGGGAGTAAACTGACACTGTGTTTGTCATGGGGTCGAGCACCTCTTCGTGGCAGGACCCGCAGATAATTCAGTAAAGGTAATTCAACTCTCGTTGATTTCAGAACGATTTCGATAAAAATATTCGTCTTTTTTCTAATTTTCACATCCGCTGTTGGAGTTTGCGGCACGGGTAGTTACATCGAGTGCAGAGATGAACACCAGGGGAAATTAAAAAACGGTCATACATTGGCGAATATATGGACCAGTCCACTAGAGCCGGTATGAAAATTCAGCTTTTCTATTTTGCACAATTTTTTAGTTTTTTAATTAGTTCAAAGTTGAAAAAATGAAATTTCTCGGACCGTTTAGTATTAATTTTTAGGAGAA